CTGTCAGGGGCCGGCGGGCTCCCGGCCGCCGCCGCCGCGCGCTCTGGGCCCGCGAGCCTCCCGGCTCCGCGCCCCTCCGCGCCGCGCCCCCTCAGCACTGGCCAGCTCCCTCCCCCGACGTCACGCGCTGGTGCCACGCACGTGCCCGCGGGGCATGCTAGGAATTGTAGTCCTCCTGGCGAGGCTGGCCCCTCCCGCGGGGCGCTACCAATTGAAGGGGTGAGATTAAAAAGGCAGTCAAGAGGAAAGAGAACCAAAACATACCATTACTCCGAACTCCATTAGAACTTCTGATATACACAACTTACGTGTATATAGGTGGCTACGTCACGATCCTCTCCCTGCTGTAACTTGTCCGTATCCAGAGGGCCCTGTAATTCCGGCTGCCTCCCCGTGCTAACAGTGGGCCTTTCCAAGGAGGCGGGCCCGCCTGGAGCCCGGCGAGCACGTGCAGCCAAGCCCAGCCCTGTGGGAAGGCCCCAGGGGGCGGGGTGTGTAGGTACTCTGGAGGGCTTCCCTCCGGGGCCGCGCGACAAATTGGACCAGAGATTAAAGGACCCGAGTTCACCCCGAGTGACTGCGTTCGTATGCAAATAGAATCTATACGACTCTGCTTTCCGGAGAAGGGTTTAAAGCCTTTTTACCTCCGGGTGGGCGGGAAGGACTAAAGTTTCTCTTCCTCCTCTTTCATTCTCCGCACCCTGCCCATAGAACAGATGGGCAAACTAAGATCAGGGCCATTGATGCCATCAAAGAAAACTTGAAACCCTCGACCACGGGTGTCCTAAAGAGCTGTTTTTAAGAGTCTCCCCTTTTCCGGCCTATTATTCCCACCATTGCTCAGTGTATCTCTCTGAAAAATGGAAGTTGTATTAAGAACTGCGTCCAATGGTAAGATGCCAGCACACACACACACACACACACACACACACACACACACACACACACACACACACACACACACAAATCGCCTCTATTTCTACCAAACAACATGCTGGATTTTCTCCCCTGCCTCGGCCGGGACGCACCTCCCGCGGCCACCAGGTGGCGTGCCCCCGGGCCTGAAGACCAGCTGGGGTGGCTGTTTTTTCACCACCACCCCCCCTTTAGGAAAACGCTGTCGTAGTAGGTTACTGACGGGGCGTAAGCGCTATCTGTCCCACTGGAAGACAAAGAACCCTAGGGCTTTGCTTGTTGGTCCTGTGCTGGGTCATACGGGGCGTCTTTCACGCTGCCCCTTCGGCCTCGGCAGTCCTCTGGTTCCTGTGTGTCACTCCTTACTTGTTTAAAAGCCTTTATCCTGGCATATTGTAATCTAACCCGGTCTGATCCCTGCCCGCATTGCTCTCCAGACCTCTTCCCTCACCTACTATTCAGGAGACTTTGCCACGCATTCCAGCACTTTCCAGTAGCTGTCCATTACCAAATTAGTGAACCTGGGTTTTCATCCTTAATCTGTGCCAGCCGATGTTATGAGAGATTTACACTAGTTATATGTTATCTAAACCTCCCACACCTATTCAATGTATTGTTGCTTTCATGTGAGAATGAAATGGTGATTACCGTTAGGGTACTCCGTGGGTCAGAAAGCTGAAAAGCCTCCTGAGCAGTGGCGCACGCCTTTAATCCCAGCACTCGGGAGGCAGAGGCAGGAGGATCTCTGTGAGTTCGAGACCAGCCTGGTTTACAGAGCGAGTTTCATGACAGGCTCCAAAGCAATGCAGAGAAACCCTGTCTCAAAACAACAACAACAACAACAAAAAAAAATGTCTCAGGGTCCACGTTCTTCCCAGAGCCAGAATTTCCTTCTATCACAGGCCCCTTTCTTCTTCCCTGGAATGCCAAGTGACCCTGCAGACATCTGATGTCTGGGGACTGACGGAGGAAGGCTACCTCAAGCAAACGAACGATGAGTTTAACCACGTGCCCAGCTCCTGGAGACGACCTGTTACCCTTTTCCACACCATGCTTCCTCCTTCCCAGACCCCTTGACCGGCCAGTCCCTCAGCTGTCTAGCCATTAGCTCCCCTGCTGCTGAGCAGCAGGCAGTGGATAGTCACTAAATAGGCATCCACTAAGAGTCCAGCACACACACTGAACCCGTTTTTTGTTTGTTTTTGACATTTTCCCCACAACTCTGTGCACTCTGCTGAGTGCACAGGTGAGGAGACAAGCTATGGGAAAAAAAACATATTTAAAGGGCTCTCAGCATTTGCAGAGAAGACAGAAGAAATGGAAAGGAACATCTCTAGGGACAAGAGTGAGTCTACAGGAGACCCATCCTGAGGAGGCCAGAAGCAGGCAGGACTACAGCTAAAAGCAAGATAAGTGAGTGCCTCATCATTGAGTCCTTACTCCATGATTCATGGCGACAGAGATGACTATAGGTGCCAGACGTGTGCAGAAAGGGACAAGTCTCTGCCTTGCTCTAACAGGGTCCGTCTTAAAGAGTCAACCAGACTGCTAGTATCCATGAGAATGCTGGAAAAGAATTCCTGCCCTGTTGGATTTGTTTTAGTATACATTGTCACCCAGCAGTGGTGGCGCTCGCCTTTAATCCCAGCACTTGGGAGGCAGAGGCAGGCGGATCTCTGTGAGTTCGAGACCAGCCTGGACTACCAAGCGAGTTCCAGGACAGCCTCCAAAGCCACAGAAAAACCCTGTCTCGAAAAACCAAAAAAAAAAAAAAAAAAAAAAAAGGTGGGCTGGGGGGGGGGCTGGAGAGATGGCTCAGAGGTTAATACTGCTTAATCAAAGGTCCTGATTTCAGTTCCCTAAACCGACATAGTGGCTCACAGCCGTCTGAGATCTGGTGCCCTCTTCAGGCCTGCAGGATTACATTCAGGCAGAACACTATACACATTAAATAAATAAACCTTTAAGAACACTGTATGCATAATAAATAAATCTTAAAAGAAAGGAAAATAGGGCTGGAAAGGTGGCTCAGCGGTTAAGAGCACGGACTGTTCTTCCAGATGGTCCTGAGTTCAATTCCGGGCAACCACATGGTGGTTCGCAACTACCTTGAATGAGATCTGGTGCCCTCTGCTGGCATGCAGGCAGAAGTCTGTATACATAATAAATAAATTTTAAAAAAGAGAGAAATATATATTAAAGATGAGGGAGGGAATGGCAGGAAAAGATGGCAGGGAAACTGATTGATATGTAAAATAAATTTTAAAATAAGAAGAAAGGAAAGTAATAAAGATTTTTTATATCAAATTTTGTCTCTGAGATCTCCTTCCTTGGAAGTAGCCACCATGCTAGTGTCCTGTGTGTCCTTTCAGACTTGGTCTGTGTACAGAGAACATGCCCATTAATCGTATTTTATACTGGGCTTTGACTCCTCTGCAGGGGATCTCCAGAAACTCTATTTAAAGCCAACACTTACTGCACAGGTGACAGTTTAACTGAAGTCAGCTGAAAGTCATACAGTAATTAGACGTCAGGCTTAGTGGTTCTCCAACTCAAGAGCCCCTGAGGGCTCCTGAGGACTAAGTTGCTGAACTCCCACCTCCTGGTGAATCTCTGGTGAAGTAACAGGGCTAGGGCCTGAGCATTTGTTTTGCTAACAAGTTCCCAGGTGATGCTGAGGCTGCAGGCTCGGGGAACACCGGCTGAGTCACTGAGCCAGCTGCCCGGGAGACAAAGCAGGAGTGCCCCGGCGGCCTATTTGCCTCCAGCGGGGAGTTGCAGACAGGGAACGCCCTGGGGGGTAAGGACAGCAATGCAGTTCTTGGGGAGAACTTGCTCGAGAGTAGAAGTGAGGAGCAAACGCGGGTGGCCGCATTTAGGGCACGAGTCAGGGTTCCTTGCTCGGGCGATGCAGGCTCCGTATGCGGATAAACGTACAAGTGACCAGAAAAGGGGGTCACCCACCGTGAGTGTAGAAGAGAAAGGAAGTTGGAAGGGCCTGCGAGAAAGTCTGGGAAGGACCCCCTGTTGAACTAAAAGGGGGAAACTGAGGTGGGAGGCAGTTTAAAAGAGTGACTCAGGCTGAGGAAACGCATGGCTGACTCCGCAGTTCAAGTCCTTGCTTTGCAATCCTAAGAACGTGAATCACGAGCGCCCAGCATCCACATTACAGGGTGGTGGTGGTGGTGTGTGTGTAATAGCAGAAGTGGAGAGGCAGAAACAGGAGGGTCCCTGGCTTAGCCAGTGTAGCCAAAAGAAAGCGCTCCAGGTTCGGTGACAGACTCTGCCCCCCCCCCAAAAAAAAGAAACAATGGAGGAAGACGACATCCTGACTTCGACCCCTGGAACGAGCAGTCGCTGCCTGGAAACTGAGGAATCAGACCTCCGCTGAGGATGGAAAGGGAGGCTGTTAAAAGGTAGTTCCTGGCGCAACAGGAAAGATGGAAAGAGCAGGGGCTGAGCCTTGAAAAGACTAGAACCCAGAGTCCCTGAGACATGGCTTTGTCAGAGCACACGCAGGGCTGGAAGTACCACTCGAACTTTGTAGCCATGCCAAAAAGACTATTTGACTAGTTTTATTTTCTCCGGTTTTTGTTTGTTTGTTTTTGTTTTGTTTTCGAGACAGGGTTTCTCTGTGTGCCCCTGGCTGTCCTGGAACTCAGATATCTTCCTGACTTTGCCTCCCGATTAAACGCATGTGCCGCTACAACCCGGCTATTTTCTCCCTTTTATCGATGAGGAAACTGGGGCTCAAAAGGGCAAAGGGACTCGTACAAGGTCCTTCATTTCACAGAACGGGGACCTGCGTCCGTTGAGTGACCTCTCTCTCTCTCTCTCTCTCTCTCTCTCTCTCTCTCTCTCTCTCTCTCTCTCTCTCTCTCTCTCTCTCTCTCTCTCTCTCTCTCTCTCTCTCTCTCTCTCTCTCTCTCTCTCTCTCTCTCTCTCTCTCTCTCTCTCTCTCTCTCCCCCCCCCCCCCACTCCGAGGCACTTTGCAAAGCCTCAGGACCGCAGGGAATGGGCGTGGAGAGGAGGGACGGGCACCCTTCCACCCTAGCTCCGCCCCCAGCGGCACTGCAGGGGCACCGGGCTGGGCGGCTCACCCGCAGCAGAGCTGGGCTGCAGCGTCGGGCTCGCGGTGCCGCCGGTGCTCCGAGCGTGCTCGCAGAGACGACTGTGTTCGTCGAGCCATGGCAGCGGCAGCCCTCCCGCCTTGGTGCCCCCAGCTGAGGCTGCTGCTGCTGCTGGGGCTCTTGCTTCGGGCCGGTCCCGTGCAGCCCGACAGTAAGGTACGTGCGCGCGCTGGGGAACCTGGCGCAGCTCGGCGGTAGCCGGCGCGAGGGGGCGCTATGGCTGAGGGTGCACGCCAAGGAGGGTGCCTTCAGCTGGGAGATGGGGACGAGGGATTTAGTCTGCACTCTGCTGGAATCTAAAGCCTTGAGAAAGGAACATGTGCGGGAAGAAGCTCTGGCTATAATAGGGTGCTTGGGTCTGGAGCCGGAGGAAAAGGCGCAGTGAACCTTGTTATGCTCAGAGATCAGGCCTCAAACCCAGGATCAAGCAGGTGCTAAGGGTTGAGCTTTCATGGAAGGCTGATCACATTGGTGTAGACTGTTGTTATCCAAGAACTACCGGGCTTGCAGTGGACCTTAGACCAAGGCTCTCAGGAGAGACTGGGAAACCCAGAGTTCTTTCCTCAGTGACTCTGGACTGGCCACACTTACCTTGGCTTCTGAGACCTGAATTCACACAGTGTATTCACCTGCCTCTCTTAGCCACCTCCCTCCCTCCCTTTCTTTTGTTGAAACAGGGTCTCACTGTGTAATTCTGGCTTATCTACCAAGGGGTACAGGTGCACACTTTTACACTGGAGATGCAGGGGCGGGCAGATCTTCGTTAAGTTTGAAGCCACCCTGGTCTGCAAAGTATGAGCTCCAGGACAGCCAGGAATGTTACACAGAGAAACCCTATCTTGAAAAAAAAATTCTGACTTGCCAGGAGCTCAATATGTAGATCAGACTGGCTTCAAACTCTCAGAGATCCTACTGCATCTGCCTCCTGAGTGCTGGGATTAAAGACGTTCACCATCATTTCTTCACCTATTAAGCGTGTGTGTGTGTGTGTGTGTGTGTGTGTGTGTGTGTGTGTGGCAGGGGCGTTGTAGCCATTCCTTACTCTTGATGGTTTCTAGATTCAATGAGATTATGCAGAATGTTTAGGACCACACCTAGTAGTAGGTACCCAATAGATGACACTACGCTGCCTCAAGAATCCCAAAACCAGGCATTAGACCCAGAGCATGGAGGGAGCAAGCATGAGACAGACCAGGAGCCCCGTAAGGGTAATCTAGAAATGACCTGATGGAGATGGGCCTACAGCAGTAGTTTTCAACCTGTGGGTCTCGATTTTATTTATTTATTTATTTTTTGGTTTTTCGAGATAGGGTTTTTCTGTATTGCTTTGGAGCCTGTCCTGGAACTCGCTCTGTAGACTAGGCTGGCCTTGAACTCACAGAGATCCATCTGCCTCTGCCTCCCAAGTGCTGGGATTAAAGGCCACCAACGCCCGGCAGCCTGTGTGTCTGGAACACTGTGAAGTTGGATGACTGTTTCATATATTTACAATTCATAATAGCAGCAATGAAATGATTTTTTGGTTGGGGGGTCACTAGCCTAGAGGAAAACTGCTCACAGAGGATAAGGGCTGACTTCTCTTAATGTCACTCCATTTTTTTCTATTATAATCTGAGCCAGCCTGTAAGCAGGCAAAGGGTAAAAGTATAGTCAGAGTTTCTTTCCCGCCTAGTCCTGCAAGCATTTAGTTCCAAAAATACACTGACGCTATATTAAGTATATAACTGTTTGCCCGATTGCTCAGGCTTCTTATTGGCTAGCTCTCTCTTAATTATTAATCCATTTTTTTTAAAGATTTTATTATGTATACAATGTTCTGTCTAGATGTTTGCCTACATGCCAGAAGAGGGCACCAGATCTCAGTATAGATGGTCGTGAGCCACCATGTGGTTGCTGGGAATTGAACTCAGGTCCTCAGGAAGAGCAGTCAATGCTCTTAACCTCTGAACCATCTCTCCAGGCCCAATCCATTTTTTTTTATCTAAGTATTTCCATGTGGTCTTATCTTAACTGGAGAATGCCCAGGCCTCTTGCTCCCTCAACAGATACATGGCATCTCTCTCTCCCCAGAATTCTCCTCTGGTAATCCCCCTTATACTTCCTGCCTGGCTACTGGCCAATCAGTGTTTTATTCATCAACCAATAAGAGAAACATATATACAGAAGGACACCCCCCCATCATAAAAGCTATTCTTTTCCTGTGCAAACCTGGAACTATGACTGCTTGCCTCTGGGCTTCAGTCCCCTCTGGCTTAGTGAACATAATCCCAGATCAACACTCTCTCACCCCCTGACTGTCCTCTGTGGCTGGGAAGGACTTTTGGACTTGAGCATCTCTGGGCTTTTCAAAGGGCTATAAGAAGGAGGGCTTATATCCAAAACAAAGCCAAGACAAAGAAAACCCAACACCCTGTTTATTTAGTGAGTCAGCCAAACACTAGGTTGGGAAGGGGGTATATTTACTTGGTCCAGAGCAAGCTGGAGCTGATGGAGTAGGGAGGATAACGCAGCTGGAGACCCAGCACAACCCTCCCCTAGAAGCTTCCCATCCCTGCTCCACCTCAGCCAGCTGGGAAGCATAAAAATCAGGTGACTTTACTCTGCATTCCTACTCAGCCAGACTCCTGCTGGCTCTGCAGAGCTGTTTTCATTCACCCTGTCTCTCCATAGTAATAACCCAATTTCTTCCCCTCCAAGCCTGTCCTGTTTTTGCTATGGTAAGATGGGATGCTTAGAGGACCACCTTGGAACTTGAAGTGAATCGAGGATTCTAGAGCTTTGCGTTTGCCCCTCTCCAGGCTTGCTCTTTCTGGCAGGCTCCTGCCCATTATACTCACCCTGGTACTCTGTTGGTCTGCTTGTGTTTTAAGTGGATGTTTATAATGAGGCTTTCCTAAACAGGATTTGGAGTTTTCCGTCTAAGGAAGTGCTTTGTCTGGACTGGAGGGGAAACTGCTATTTCTGCATGACTGCCCTGCATGATTGAGGTTGGGGTGGATAGGCAGGTAGCACCCCATGACACCCAGGCATGGCAGCAGACACTCCTGAGAAGTGACAATTTACCTGCTGTCTCTCCATCTGAGAAAGAGCTGCTGGGACCTCACAGGGGTGGAAAGGGGCTTGAGCAAAGAGAGAAGATGATGCCTGTGGGAGCCAGACCAAGGGACCAGACCACAGTTAGCCCAGCAGGCTGTGGTTTCCTGGGCCAGGTCAGATGTTCCAGGCAGGCCAGTCCCAGGGGCTTAGGTGTTGTTTCACATCAACTCCCGGAGTTTCAGCATGTGGGAGTAATTGGAAGCAGACCCCTGAGCTGAAACGGCAGAATGACAGGGTAATGGAGTCCTCTTTCTGGTACAGTGTCAGACCAAGCCACACCTCACCATCTCTCTGTAAGAAATGGACCTGCCTAAACACTCATTTGAGGGCATAGAATACCAGGACCAAGGTCCGTGCCCAACATTTTACACTCGACATCACGTACAACTGTCCTTTAGTGGTCCCTCCCCAGAGAACAGATTTGAATACCCTAAAGAATCATACTAGGGCTGGTTGGTGTTGGAGCACACCATTAATCACAATGCTTGGGAGGCAGATATCTATGAGTTCGAGACCAGCCTGGTCTATAGAGAGAGTTTCAGGACAGCCAAGGCTTCACAGAGGAACCCTGTCTCTCAAAGAAACCTCTGTGACACTGAGGTATCTGCACTTGCAAGTATAACCCCAGGTACTTCTGAGGCATGGTCCCCTTCCCAACCCAGAACTTATGGAGCAGTGTGGAACTAAGATCTGTGGAGCCAGAGAGTAACAGATCATCGAAGAAAGTGACTTTGGAAGGTTAATCCAGCAGAGAGGAATGCATACTGACATTGAGCTATGGTCATGGAGTTGGTAGCAAGATACAAAGGTGGGAAATATTTAGGGTAACACCTCAGGAAACCATCACTAATAAGTTGTCCAGGGTACAAAGGAGGTACAGAGACCTTGCCTGGGCAGGAGGGAAGGCAGACTTAGGGTAGAGAAGATGCTGCCTAGAGCTCACCTGCATTGAATTTGGGGTCTCCAGAAAGAGGTGTCCCGATGACAGTGGAGTTCAGTTGAGGGCTTCGCAGGGAAACTGCCTCAGGTGAGGTGGGATAGCCATGAAGAAAGCAGCACCACCCTCAAGACCACCTCATATGAGCCTGCCCAGCCTCTGCAAGAACTCTTACTCCAGCTCTATCTCCAAGCTTTATCTCCAAAAACAATGCAAGCTACCTACCCATCTCACTGCGAGCTTTCCTTGCAAATACCCAGAGGACTTCTAAGCACTAACCTCCACTACTGACACATTTGCAAGCTTTGGCAGGGACGTGTGCTGTGCAGGGAAAGGTGGGGGCTGAGGCAGGAGCTTTACTATTTGACAGCAGCTTTCAGCCTTCATGCCGAGGAACAGACCCAGGAAGTAGCCCCAGATCCATGGCCTCCTTCTGTGCACCCCTGTCAGTCCCAGCTCAGTTGCTAGGGCAGAAGTCTTGTTGTGGTGCCCGTAGGTGTTCAGAGGAAGGGCACCATGTGAACAAAACCATGGAGTCAGGCTGTGTGGACAAGCCTCTAGCCTTCCCTAATGTACCATGGGCAAAGAGAGATGGAAAACATGGAGGTGATGTGAGGGAGGACTTCCATAAGCAGCATATATAGCAAGATTGCTTAGCTGGGCGTTGGTGGCGCACGCCTTTAATCCCAGCACTCGGGAGGCAGAGGCAGGTGGATCTCTGTGAGTTCAAGGCCAGCCTGGTCTACCAAGCAAGTTCCAGGACAGCCTCCAAGACAATACAGAGAAACCCTGTCTCGAAAAACCAAAAAAAAAAAAAAAAAAGATTGCTTAAATTAGCAATCTGGCCCAGAGCTGTGGCAGGTGCTCTCCGTATGCTGACTGCAGTTTCATGACAAGCACAAGGAGGGGTTGATAGCCACCCCATTTTACAGAAGAGGAAGCTGAAGTTCCAAGGGGACAAGGCCATGAAGGTATAAGTGCCAAGACTATAGCTTGTCACCATGGTGCTTGGCTATCTCTAGCTCTACCCCACTGGAAGCAGGACCCTGCTGCATTCCCAGTAACTGGATCTGGGATCAGGGGCCTTCTTCCAACTCCTGCTAGTGTGAGAGCCTTGACCACCGGTGTCAGGATATAGCATGTCATCTGAGGACGAAGAAATGTAGCAGTATAATGTGGAGGTTGCTGCTGGGTGGATGGGCTACCCCACTGTGGTTTGGCCACACAGAACACACACACACACACACACACACACACACACACACACACACGCACGCATGCACGCGCGCACGCACACACCCCTACCTGCTGAGCTTTTGACTCTGACTGGGAAGTAATACAGTGTCATGGAGTTTTGGCAGAGCTGAGAGAGGACTTGAGTTCCTCTCTGGCGAGGCTGACTGTTGGAAAGCAGGGGAGCATTGGCCTGCAGCACACACAGTGCACTCTACCCACAGAGGACCAGGACAGACAGCAGGACCACAGCCTCCTTTCTAGCTTTCCTCTCTGTCCACTGTTCCCTGGCTCCTGCACAGCTTCAGAAAAAAAAAAAAAAATAGGAAATCTACACTGCCCGGGCTCATCCTCTCCAACCTGGCATTTTATGGTTTAGGGGCTGTTTCCTCATCTGTAGGATGTTGCCCCCAATAGAAAAAAGTCGACCAGTGCAGCCACATAGAAAAAGCCCAGCATATCCCCGCCCCATCTCACCTCTGTGTCCTTGGTGGGACTAGCAGCAGGATCTATGTCCATGGGTGTCAGCCCAAGGCTAATCCAGTTGGCTATGCACTCTAGTCTCCCTGCTATCAAACAGCACATTGAGCTAGGGTGAGGGCACACACCTTTAATCCCAGCGCTCGGAGGCAGAGGCAGGTGGATCTCTGAGTTTGAGGCCAGCCTGGTCTACGAAGTGAGTTCCAGGACAGCCAAGGCTGCACAGGGAAACCCTGTCTTAAAGAAACAAACAAAAATTGTACACTGGAGGGGGTGAGGTCTGGGCTGTGTGGACTTCCTGTGTTTCTTCTGAAGCTGTGGAGGGTGCAGGTTACAGTGAAAACTGAAAGAAGTTGGGAGGAAAAGGAAGGCAGAAGAATGGGCTGAGGATGACACCCACTCGTCAGGGCCACACCCTCAGTGACATATTTCCCTGAAGGAAGCCCCCTCTGGGGCTACACCACCTCCAAAATGCCATCCAGTTATGAATCCATCAGTGAATTCAGCCACAGATGAACTCAAAGTCTTTTTTTTTTTCTTAAGTTTTTTTGAGACAGGGTTTCTCTGTATTATTTTGGAGGCTGCCCTGGAACTCTCTCTATAGACCAGGCTGGCCTCAAACTCACATCTGCCTGCCTCTGCCTCCTGAGTGCTGGGATTAAAGGAGTGTGCCTGGCGAACTCAAAGTCTTTATGTTTCTGTCTTTGTGGCCCAGCAGCAGGCAACTTAGCTCAGGAATCCTGGGGAACATTTTAGATTCAACCAGAAAACCAAGATCCTCAGCCAACTCCAGGACCCTCCAAGACTGGGCTCGCCTCCTGCCACCTGTACCCCAGAAAGCACCAGTCAGAGTAACCTTCCCACCGCCCCCCTATAAAACAAGATTCACCCTTGTTTTGCCTGTCTAATTTGCTTCCCCTCAATGCCCTCTCCACAAAAGTACCTTCTCCTGGCCACCTTTAGCGGTGTTTGTGCTGGTGGGGGGGGGAGACGGGGACGACACGCCTTAGTACTCAGGAGGCAAAGGCAGGTTGGTCTCTGAGTTCCAGGCCAGCCTATCCTACAGAGTGAGTTCCAGATAACCAGTGCTACACAGAGAAACCCTGTCTCAAAAAACTAAAATAACAGAAAAAAATGAAGAATATTCCCTGATCTATTTTTCCTGCACCTCTAGCTGTCAGCCACTCAGCCCCTGCCAGAAGCCAGGGGCTCAAACAGATATCTGAGGGTCTAGAGAGGAAATGGAAATCTAAGTCCCTTTCCTTAGGGTCTTGGGGCTCGGCAGAGGCCCAGGGTGCCATGAGCTCACCTGAGTCCTTATGCTTTCTTACACAGTGGTAGCTGAGCAGCTACAGGCCTAGGGTGAGTTTCTGTGGGCTGGGCCGGGACTCGCTGTACACTAAGCGTCTGGAGCCCAGCGTGCAAGCCAGGTGTATGTATGTACCTGCCTCGCATCTCACTGGGTTGATATCTGAGGACACAGAGCTGGTGATGTCCCAGAAACAAGTGGCCACATCTGGTCATGGGGGGTGTAGCATCCAAGAGTGAGGTTGAAGGAGGAGGAGGAGGAGGAGAAGGGAACCACGGGCTTGAGGTCATATACATGCATTTCTAATATTGCTTAAGGTATTTTACCTATATAGTTCATTTAGCAATGTAATGTAAATTTCTAGTTCTTGAAAGTTATTACCAACTATATAGGATGATAAAGAAATGTAGTTTAGTAATTAGTCAACTATTACTATTAAACTTGTAATCACATTAGGTATGTCTACAAGGTCAAACAGATATATTTTAGAAAAACAGGTATCTTCAAACACTTCAGAGATCTACAGAATATGACATTTAACATGTTTTAGTAACATAGGTTCTTTTTTTCATGACAATGAGACATGTCTACTCCCAGTACCATAAATCTACTTAAGAGAAAATGATGGGCATCAAAGAAACTCCACATGGAGTTTACTTTCTTTGTGACAAAGGTCAGCCACTGGGCAAGAAAGTTCCCTTGTCTCAACTGCTGACACTAGGCTATCCAAATTGAACAAACAGGACACAAAACAGAGTGACTACATACCTTACCAAGACAAGTAGGGACAGTCCTTTAGAAAACTCCTGCTTCACAGGAACGTCTGTCAGAGATGCTAGGTCTATAGGCCAAAGATGGATGCCCAGCACTGCAGAGGAACCTTGGGTGACTGTCCAGGCAGCCAGCTGTGTCTGTCATTTCCCACATTTTTTGAAAGTTGTTTGCTTGCACTTGCTGCTTACTCAGTTAATATTATTTCCTTCATGGGTTTCTGAGGGAGTTAAAGACTAGATAGTTATAGTTTTCCTTGTTTACCAGACTCAGAAAAGAAATTCACTAAAGATGTGTTAAGTATAAAAGGTTTGAAAGAAAGCCGGGCGTTGGTGGCACACGCCTTTAATCCCAGCACTCGGGAGGCAGAGGCAGGCAGATCTCTGTGAGTTCGAGGCCAGCCTGGTCTACAGAGTGAGTTCCAGGACAGCCTCCAAAGCCACAGAGAAACCTTGTCTCGAAAAACCAAAAAAAAAAAAAAAAAGGTTTGAAAGACATTAAAAGATAATTTGCGAGTGCAAATTAGAATAGAAAGTAAATTAGAAGCAAGACCTTGGACTCATCAAGATAGGATAAATAATATCTCTGAATTTGTCAAATGTAAATCAACTAAACATTGTTAATGTACTTATTGCCTGTTATATTGTCTATAGTTTTTCTTATGTTAGCTATAACCTTGAAATGTAAATGGAGTACTTAATTGGTCTAAATTTATAAAAACCTGGAGTCAGATATAGAGGAAAATGCTGAGAGATCAGAGAGAAGAAGGAGCAAGCCAAAGCCTTTACCTCATCAGCTTCCCAACAGAAAGGAGAGCAAGTTCCTGTTTCTTCCCATTTATATCCTCTCTCTGCCCAGCCATCTCACTTCCTGTCTCTGTGCAGACTTCTAGACATCTATGGCTAGTTAGTGACAAGCTCCATACCCTGATCTTCAGACAAGCTTTATTTGTACAAGCGAGATATCACCACATGAGACAATTGGCAGTTAAGTATTGTGGGAGAAGGGTGTGATTTTAAACGCAGTGGGACACACACACAACTCCCCCATCACAACATCAAAATAGGAGGGGACATGGGGCAATGAAGGGTTTCAGCAGGAGAGACAGGGATGATAAAGGGTAATGGGGAAGAAAATGACCCAAATGTGTCATATACATGAGTGAGTGAAACTGTCAAAGAATAAATAAAAAGAGAAGCAGAGCAATGATGGAGCTTGGAGCCACTCTTCTACCTCAAACTGCGGTCTTTGAGCTTGTGACTTGACCTCTTTGAGCCTGCATCCTTAGATGAGGCTTAATAATGACTCTTAGTAATGGCTAACACACAAGGCACAGTTTTTCAGGTTTTATTTTTCCTTTATTCCGTTGAATCTTCACTAGCCCCTGAGTCAGAAGCCCACTTTTCCAGAAGCAGGAAGATTTCAGGAACAGAAAGTATGCTGCCTTCTCACCCAGGATCCAGACCTTGTGTTCTTTTTTTCCTTCTTTTTCTTTTTTGACAGGGTTTCTCTGGGTAGTCCTGACTGTTCTGGAACTCACTTTGTAGACCAGACTGGCCTCTGCCTCCTGTGTGCTGGTATTAAAAGCATGAGCCACCATGCCCCACTGACAATTCTCTTTTTTTGAACTTTTCCACACCTGGGCATTAGCGTTTGAATTATAATTACAACACTGTTGCTGAGTCCCTGTTCCTTCTCTGCTACGTCTAAGTGCCACCCAAAGACCAGCAGGCTGGATTCTGCTACTACCACCACCACCACCACCACCACCCCTCACCCCCCCCACTCCCCACCACCACCCCACTCCCCTCACCCTGCCCCCAGCCCTGTCCACACAGTTCTGGCCAAATGGAACCCCTATTGCCCACCCTTTGCAGGTGTTCAGCAACCTGGACCAGGTACGGATGACCTCGGAAGGCTCTGACTGCCGCTGCAAATGCATCATGAGACCGCTGAGCAAGGATGCATGCAGCCGGGTACGAAGTGGGCGTGGGCAGGTAGAGGACTTCTACACTGTGGAGACGCTAAGTTCAGGGACTGACTGCCGCTGCTCCTGCACCGCTCCGCCTTCCTCGCTCAACCCCTGTGAGAATGAGTGGAAGATGGAAAAACTCAAGAAGCAGGCACCTGAGCTCTTCAAGGTAGGCTGACTCAGTAAGGGGATTGGCCTGGCTCTCCCATGTTGTCAGTAATAGAGGTCAGAAAACTAAGGCTTCCTCAGTGAAGCCAGCTGAAGTCAGTGGGGCCCCTTGAATTACTCACTGCCCTAGGTGTCACCTAAAAACAATTTGCGTCTCTTGGCTGTGTTACAAATGCTGGGGCACTTTATTGTTATTTTGTTTGTTCCATGTTGCTTTTTGAGACAAGGTGATACTCTGTTACCCACACTGGCCTAGAATTCGCTATATGTACCAGGATAGCCAGCCTGGAATTTGAAGCAGTTCACCTCCTATGCTGCCCAGTTTCTGGGATTATAGGCTTATTTTTGTTTATTTTAATTGATAGAGGTTCATATTTCAGGCTTGCCTCATACTTCCTATGTAGCCCAAGATGACCTTGAGTTTCTGGTCCTTCTACCTCTACTTACTAAGTCCTGACATTACATATGGGCAGTGCCATGCCGGCTCTCAGTGGATCAGGTGGGGCTGGGATTTGAATCCAGGTCTAGCTGTGTCTAAATCATACATTTAAACGTTGCATCTCCTCCTCTGCCTTTCTCTAAAGGATCTTATAAAGGGCAAGTTTGTTTCCTGTCTTATAAAATTGTTTTTTGTCTTATAATGTATATGAGTGTTTTGCCTACATGTATATAAGTATATCACATGCATGTCTGCTGCCCATGGAGGCCAGAAGAAAGCATCAGATACCCTGAAACTGGAGTTACAGGTGTTGGGAGCTGAACCCAGGTCCTCTGCAAGAGTAGCAAATGATCTTAACTGCTGAGCCATCTCTACCCACTTCTTGGTATCTTTGAAAGTCTTTTCTCTTACAGTATCTTAGAAACTTGCATCTCATTGGCCTGTTTGGTGTCAGAAACCATGAATGGTCTGAGGTGGTACCCTACTTGTTATATAAGTTTACAAGGTAACATAGCCCTGGATGCTAGTGGAAATCACAGACAGCATCCTGGGTCACAGACAAAGGACTTCTTGGTTCCCAGCTAACCTCCATTCTCCTTCACTGGTTTGATGTGTTCCAGCATATGCTTTAGTATGGTATGGGATAGAGGAGCGCTAACTTCAGAGAACTAGAAGCCTGTGTCATTCCCTGCAAGGAAATGCTATCTTACAACCCAAAGCTACTCTAACTAATGACTCTGAAGCAAAATACACAGAGAAGCAAATGACCCATGAAGTGCTGTCTTCCAGGATTTGACTAAAATTGTTTTTTTTTTTAGCTTTAAGTTTATTTTTGTATTATATAAATTGATGCCAAAATTACCAAACTTGGAGGGAGTAGCACATTTTAAGCAAAGTGCCCTTCTAACAATTTGGCAATGCCTGGACCACACTGACTCCCTGGGGCTTCCCTGGTGCCCTGTGGACTCCAGTAGCTAACCCAAAGGCCTGTCTGCAGTTATAGGGACAAACTCAGTTTCTCCTCAACTCAGTGGTCCAGTTAACTAGAGGTCCTGTTGTTTTTGTTTTCACTTGTAGATCCAAGATCTCATGCTGTAACCCAGGCTGACTTCATGCTTGTAGCCACAGCCCTCCTTCCTCAGCCTCCCAAGAGCAAGCGGCTCTGTGTGAGCATCCCAGGGAAGGAATTAGGAGGATCCCTGGGTACAGAACTTGCGTTGTAGCCCACCTTCCCATCCCAGCCCCTTCACTCATGCTAATAACTCCAGCTGAGCTCTGGCTTCGGCTACGTGCCTGCATAGGAGAAGGGATGCCGTCCTGCCCTATTTCTTGGGTAGACTGGCAAAGAAAAATGTCCCTTAGCCAGGCGTTGGTGGCGCATGCCTTTAATCCCAGCACTCGGGAGGCAGAGGCAGGTGGATCTCTGTGAGTTCGAGGCCAGCCTGGTCTACAAAGTGAGTTCCAGGACAGCCTCCAAAGCTACAGAGAAACCCTGTCTCGAAAAACCAAAAAAAAAAAAATGTCCCTTAAACACTTCTGTCTTTCGTTTTGGACACGGCCAGGTATACCCCATCCTTGAGGAGTTGCCAGGCTTCTGAGGACACAGCTGTGACCCTAACAGTGGCAATGTACTCTGTACTGGGCCAGGAATTATGCCAGGGATCATGGGGAGTCCCAAAGCTGGGGAGGAAGAAATGAAGGAATGTGTAACACGAAAAGTGAATGACCCAGAAACCGATACTGGGCTTCAGAGTTCACGCTGAATATCAGAAAAGGAAAGCAGCTGGCCACTAGCTCTTACCACTACCTCAGGCTGAATGGGCTGATCCTGCTGCCTCTCCTCAGCATGGCTGAAGAATGAATGCCTCTCTGAGACCTTGCTTCTGTTTTATATACTTCCTTAATGTTGAGATTAAAGGTGTGAGCTATAATTCTCTTTTAGACTGATTCACTCTTGCATAGATCTGGGTAGCCTTGGACTCATGAAGATCCATCTATGTCTTAATCCTGAGTCCTAGGATTAAAGGTGTGTACCACCACCTCCTAGCTTCTGGCTGCTAGAATTAGAGGTGTGTGCCTGGCTTCTATGACTTGTGGCTGACTTTGCTTTCTGAATCTTCAGGCAAGCTTTAATAAATCATAAATAATATATCACCACAAAGCTCCCTTTTTTTGTCTAATACAAAAAGAAAAAGGCCACAGCTAACATAAGAAAAACTATATACAGTAAGTACAAGTATATACAATATATACAGGCAACAAGTTCATCAACAATGTCTAGTCCATTTGCATTTGACAAATTCAGAGAAAATACTTCATTATCTATCCTATCTTGATGAGTCCAAAGTCTTGTACCTGATTGTTTCTATTCTAATTTGCATTATCAAATTATTTTTCAATGTCTCTCAACCTTTTACACTTTACATATCTTTTGTGAATTTATTTTCTGAGTCTGGTAAAAAGGTAAACTATAACTATCTAGTCTTCAGCTGCCTCAGAGAACCAAGAAGGAAAGAATATTAACTGAGTAAACAGGAAGTGCAAGCAAATGACTTCCAAAACATGTGAGAAATGACAGACACAGCTGGCTGTCTGGACAGTCACCCAAGGTTGCTCTGCAACATTGGGGCATCCATCTTCGGCCTATAGGCCTAGCATCTCTGACAGATTTTTCTGTGAAGCAGGAGTTTCTGAAGGACTGTCCCTCCTTGTCTTGGCAAGGCTTGCAGTCACTCTGTTTTGTGTCAGCTGTTGAGGCAAGGGCACTTTCTTGCCCAGTGGCTTACCTTTGCTACAAAGAATGTAATCTCCATGTGGAGTTTCTTTGATGTCCATCATCTTAAATAGATTGGTGCTGCCAGGAGCAGGCATGTCTCATTGTCATTAAAAAAAAATCTATGTTGAGCCAGGTGTTGGTGGCGCACGCCTTTAATCCCAGCACTCCGGAGGCAGAGGCAGGTGGATCTCTGTGAGTTCGAGGCCAGCCTGGTCTACAAGAACTAGATCCAGGACAACCTCCAAAGCCACAGAGAAACCCTGTCTTGAAGAAAAAAACAAAACAGAACAAAACAAAAGTATATTCAATAATCTACCTTTTTATCTCAACATATCTATCTTTTTTTGAAACAAAAACCTTGAATCTAATCCCCTTTGTTCAACTTTCTTCCTGACGGTAACCAACAACATTTTGTAACCAATCTCCCTAAACAATGACTGATATCCATTAACCCATTAAACAACAAAAACCACCCACCCCACCTCTTGGGAATGTGGGTATTGTAGTTAGGGTTTTGTTTTTTGGTTGTTGTTGGTTTTTGGTTTTGGTTTTTCAAGACAGGGTTTCTCTGTAATTTTGGAGGCTGTCCTGGAACTCCCTCTGTAGACCAGGCTGGCCAATCTACTCACAGATATCTACCTGCCTCTGCCTCCCTAGTGCTGGGATTAAAGGAGTGTGCTGCCGCCGCCACCACCCATCTGGGTGTTGTGTTCTTAAAGTTACTTCTTGCTGTCTGGGGACAACAGCATCTTTATGGGAACCTTAAAAGAAAGTTGTGGGGTTAACTGGCCTCTGCATACAAGTTGGAGGGCTTGTCTCAAATCGTGGTTAGAGTCGTCTGTAAGACTGGATCATCTTAGTCAGACTCCACAAAATTGTTCTGAGCAGTTTGTAGTCCAAACTTGATCTTTAATTGGTATTGCTCAGTTTAATGGTATTATCATAGTCCTGATGAAATTGTTATGGGGTTCCTTCCTCCTCCTCTTCCTCCTCCTCCTCCTCCTCCTCCTCCTCCTCCCCCTCTTTCTTCTTTTTCAAGAGAGGATTTCTCTATGTCAACAGTCCTGGCTGTCCTAAAACTCACTTTGTAGATCAAGGTGGCCTCAAATTCACTGAGATCTACATGCATCTGCCTCCCAAGTGGTAATGTTAAAGGTGAGTGAGACCTCCACCCAGCTTGAATTCAATCTTCTTTTTGGAGACTTCAGAGATCTCATTAGGTCAGATTACTTCTTGTCTTGGTAATTTTTTTCCAGGTCGTTCTCTCTTCTTCTTCGGAAGTTTATTTGTCCAAATGTCTTAAATTCCTCAAGATTTTTGTTTTTATTTTCCTGAAAAGACAAAAACAAAACCCTTCCCCAACACTAACTTTGGGGATGTTCGTAATCTAATCCTTATCATTTTTGGTCTATAACTTCTAATTTTTTTATTTGAGCTTCTAAAGGGTCTCTTTCATCCAGAACAATATGTTTTCTTTCAGTAGGCATTAGGGCATTTAATTGTTCTGGAAAGGAGTTTCATCCACAGTGGCAGGAAACAAATGAACTGATGTTTGCATAGGAGACTTTGACAGGTGCCTTAAGACATTTCAGTGGCGATACAATAGTCCTTAAATATGTGTTTTCCTCTGTTCCATATCAGGTGGCTCTTCTGACATGAAACAGAGATTTTTTATTTTTCTTTAACAGGCATGCTTGGGTTTAGAGAAGAGGAGAGCCACACTCCAACTCCAAAGCCAGCTTCAATCTTTAATTGGACTACAAAAAGGCCATTTGCATTGTATGTCTGTAGAGAAAACAGAAACAAATGTTTGGGAAATTTTATGAAATTTTATCCTGTTAGAAATATGATATACCAGCAGGCTAATTTATTCTTTCCTTGGAACAACTTTTTTGGATTATTTGTTCCTTTTCTTCAGATGTCTCAATTGTCCAGTGGATTCTGGATTCTGGATTCCTTAGTCTCTTGAAAAGGCAAAACTAAAACCCTTGCCCAATCCTAAATTTTTCTCTGTTTTCTGGATCCTCAGGCAAGCTTTATTAACTCATAAATAATATGTCACTATGGGGAAAGAAGGAAGAGAAAGCAGGCATTAGTTTAAGTCTAATGTCTTATGAAAGTCAAGGAAAACCAAAACCTGTTCTCCTGCTCTGTACTGACTTTTACCACAGGTCCCACAAGCAGTTTGCTCCCACTCCGCTCACCCCAGCTCTGAGTGCTGGCCACACCTCTGCTCTGCATGTCCTCTCCCAACAGCTCTGCCTGTGCGTGCTCAGGTCACACAAAGTATGCTCATTCCAGCAGAACTAATCCTCTGAGGCTGGAGGAGAGACGGTGCCTTGCTTAAGAGCACCTGCTACTCTTGCCAAGGACTGGGGTTTGATTCCCAGAACCCACATAGCAGCTGTAACTCCAATTTCAGGGGATCCAATGACCTCTTCTAGACTCCACAGCACCCTCGTGATGCACAGACTTTCATACAGGCAGACACCTGTAGGCACAAAATAAAAACAATTGAAAAAGTAAAAAGGTCCATACTTTGGGTTAGGTTGATCAACTGAAGCAAGCAGGCCTGTTGACCAGTGAGTGATTCATGACCAAGAAGCCTGTTATAAAACTGCTCCCCAAGCCAGGCATTGGTGGGGCACACCTTTAATCCCAGCACTTGGGAGGCAGAGTCAGGCGGATCTCTGTGAGTTCGAGACCAGCCTGGTCTATAAGAGCTAGTTCCAGGACAGCCTCCAAAACAATACAGAGAAACCCTGTCTTGAAGAAAAAAAAAAAAAGCACTCCCCAGAGACACTATAGCAAAGTTCTTAAAGCAGGGCCATGAGGGGAGACCTCCCAAGTAAGGATATGACTCCAAGCCAAGGGACAGCTGCAGTCTGGCTCCTAAGGACCCCACAACTATTGGTCATACCTCAGGGCTATCCCTGGGAAACATCTAGACTTTGGAGTTTGGCTGCTTTGCACCAAAAAAAGAGGCTTACACAGACAGGATGATTGATGGGTACAAAGTTCAGGTCAGGGGAAGAGCTCCCTTGTTCCATCATACAGAAGGGTGACAGTGGGTGATAACAGTTAATTGTCCATTAAAACATGTTTTATCAGAGAGGCACTTGAATGGTCTCATCACAGAGAAACTGGAGGTATATATCACCCACACATATCCCCCACTTGCTGGGATGTGACCAGTGGCGGAGTATTTGACTAGTGTGTAGAAAGTCTTCATATAAATCCCCAGCGCTTCAAAAGCAAAAAACACAAATGTGCATATTTGTAAAATGCATTAATAAAATCTTACCTGTTCCTTGTCATGTGATTATGAGCAGGCTAGAGCCCAAGCCACTGTGAGCCTCTGGGATTCTGGGCTTCCTTGCTGCGGGGAGCTCCTTTTGTGACCCCTGGCCTCTGTGTTTGTATCGTTGTTTTACCCTGTCTCCCTACTCCACCCCTCACCTCCAGCTGCAGTCTATGGTGGATCTCCTCGAGGGTGCCCTGTACAGTCTGGATCTGATGAAAGTACATGCCTACATCCACAAGGTGGCCTCCCAGATGAACACACTGGAGGAGGTAAGGGCAGGCAGGGCCAGGAGCCCAGGGCTGTATCCAAAGGGGCCTGGGACATCCTGTTTCACTCTGGTGGCCACAGAAGGCAGACCTCCAGCAGTTGGGAAGGGAAGTATAGGCTGCAAGGTCTTGCCTTTGGTGTACAGGTCTGGGGTTTCAAGGACCCGAGGAAGCTGAGAGCCTGGATGAAGAAACTGAGGTACCCTTTGGTAGTATGAAAAGAGTGTTGATAGGGTGCTGTCAACATCAGGGTCCACACTGCACAACTCTGGGGTACCGTTCACAGAGAAGTACCATGTCAGTGGTGCCTCTGGATTGCTACAACATAGCAGAACTGATCACACCTTCCTGGGTTTGATAGTCCCGGTATTACCTGTATGGAGGCAAAGGCATTACAGTGCAGACTGGACAGGCTGTGTTTTCTAGAGGACTACCTTCTGGGTACAAGAACAGTCAGACCTGGAGAGGTCCAGGCTGAAGGTTCAAGGCTTGCCTCTCCCTGGCATTGCCTGGCCTCCTCCCATTTCCTGCATCCGGCCTCTGCTGAACACCAGGGACATGCAGCTGCCAGGAGCAGGCGTGGGGACTTCCTTTCCCTGCTTCCTTTCCAAAGGGAGGTGGTAACTGGGCATCCTGTGGCACAGGAGGAAAGACTAACCTCTGACTAAGTCCCAGGCTGGGGGTTCACAGTGACTTAGGTTATCTGAAACTTCTTGGATCACCTCCTCCAACTTGATGCCAGGCCAGCTTGGGAAGGTGACATGAGAACTTTTCCTGGGTACAGGGTTAGCTATACACGCTCTCATGCTACAGGCCCTGAGGCCATCCTCCACTCAACCCTTCCTCTTAGTCCCTCTGGAAATGCAAGCTGCTTCTCCAGAGCTCTGAGTCTGCTGCTTGTCTCTTTAGCAAGTTTGGTTTGTGTGCTGGGATCACAGCTCTGAAGAAGTAAGCTTAAGTTAACAGACTACTGGAGACTTTCGGGGACCACCCTTCAACACTAGGTAACTAAATTATGACCTAAGAATACAGTGGCATACGTATATTCATCCAGGAAAAGGAGTGGAGAATGCTTTGTAGACAGACATGGAGCTATTCCCAAAATAAACTGATAAATGAAAAATCCAAGTGTTGAAAAAAATGGGCAAATATATATGCTTGTCCCTGTCATAAAAACATGTAACATTTTCATCACTGAAAAAAAAACAAAAGTGAGAGGGACTTACTTATCTTTATTTATTTATTTATTTGAGAGGGTCTCACTATGTGTGTCCTTGGATGTTCTGCAACTGCCTGTGTAGACCAGACTGGCCTCGAACTCACAGAGATCCGCCTGCCTCTGTCTCCCCAGTGCTGGGATAAAGGCGTGCTCCACCAACGCCCAGCTATATTGCCTATTTCCATCCATTTGTTCATGGGAATAAAAATAATTAATTATCGGTCTTATAGGACATACTTTTCTTCCACTCTGCTCACCATTGCCAGCTTTACCTGTGCCCCCCAAGTCCTGATGGCCAAGTTGGTGGGACCCTCTAGGGTGGCAGGGCCGGGAATGACCATGAACCCTGCCCCACAGAACATCAAGGCCAACCTGAGCCAGGAGAACGAGGGGATGAAAAACAGCATCCGTCACCTCAGCGAGCAGCTGAAGAGCTATGAGAACCAGTCAGCCACCATGATGAGCATTAAGAAGGAACTGTCCAGTCTGGGCCTCCAGCTGCTGCAGAGGGATGCGGCTGCTGTCCCTGCCGCTGCCCCAGACTCGAGCCCTGACAGCAAGGCTCAGGTGAGACTTCCACTCTGATCGCAGGGACAGAAGGTGGCTGGGCTTGAAGACACGTGCTTGTTTGGAGCCTTGGGGGAGAGTTGACAGAGAGTACAGCGAGAACTGGGGCGCGTCTGTTTCCACTTGGTGACCGGCGCAGGTAAGCTAGCCTAGGGGGTGACTGGCCCCTAAATTGGGTATTCATTCTCATCCCAAGTTGCCAAGGTCCTGGAAATGAGGTGTGGGAACCTCCCTCTGGCCCTAGAAGACCAAGGCGGCTTCCCTGTGCTGGGGCTAGGCCCCTGGGTGGGTCAGTACCTCAGGGACGCCTGAAGAGTATCATTTCACCCATAGCAGATGGCATGTCTTTAGCAGATCTTGTTCTAATTTGCCTGCAGAAGTATTGCTGTGAGGAAGACCATGACCAAAGCAATGTTGGGAGGAAAGGGTTTAGTTCATCTTACAATTGTCAGGTCACACTCCGTCAACGCAAGACCTGAAACAGAGGATCCCTGCTTACGGGCCTCCTCAGCCTGCTTTCCCGTATAACCCGGGAACACTTGCATAGGGGGTAGCACCACCCACAGTGGTCTGGGCCCATCAAATCCATCAATAATCAGGAAAATGCCCATAGACAAGCTGATTTGGTGGAGGCATTTTCCCAATTGAGGTGCTCTCTTCCCAGGTCAACCTAGCTTGTGTCAACCTGGCAAAAAGAGAAAAGAAAAGAAAAAAAAGCCAGCACGCTCCTTCAGGCAGAAAAACTGACCTCCTACTTTCCAGATAAGTCAGGAACAAGTACCCTTTCCTTGTGGCACTCAGAGTGTGTCACTTGGCCAGGAGTGCAATAAGTAGCCACCCTTTGATGCCCCTCAGGTCAGTCATCCATGGGTAGCCTCGTTCTCTGGTGATATTTTAGGGGTCCTCTGAACCTTACTTCCTCACATACCACATTAGTTCATTCCACAACCTGCGAGCAGGGTTGACCTCCTGCCTACTTGGCACATGAGGAGACACGAAGAGGTCGCAGGCAGAGGGTGTGGCGGAGCCAGAGCTGCAGCCAGCCTTCCTGGCTGCCAAGCCCCAGCCCTTCCTCCATCTGCAACCTCCTGTGCTGACAGTGTGGCACCTTGGTGACTGCAGCTGGGACTGCCTAGGCACAATAAAGCACGAGGAAGCCTGTGTCTCGACCTGTGGCTGGCTGCCTGCGCCTGAGATGCCAGTTCTGCAAGTGCGAGCCAGCCCCGCTTTGACCGCCGCTTAGAAGGTGCAGATACTGTACAAGCCTTATCTGTCTGTCTCACAATGGGTGGCGCCCCAGGTCCTGTGTTCTTGTGCCAAACCAGCCTGAGAGCATTTGAGTAGGAAGTGAAAATAACGAGGCTCACAAAATGTTAGACACGGCATTCCCTAGGGCTAGCCAGACCAACATGGGACAGGAAGAATTCTCGGGATGCTAGGATTTCAAGGCTAACATGGGGAGCATTCTGGGTACTCTGCTAAGGGACCCAAGAACCTCCCCCTTTTCCTTACACTAAGACCCATAGGCTAGGAGGCCTCCTCAGGAGCCAACCTGTCAGTCAAGCCAAGGGAAGGAGTGGACAGGAGTCGGGAATGAGTATGTAACCCGCCAGATTGGATCTCAAGCCCGCGGAGGAACTAGAAAGCTAAGCGGAGAAGCAGAGGCAGACAAAGTGTGGATGTATCCACTGTGAAACTTCACAGACGCTGAGACCACCTCCAGCGCCCACACACTGTGCTGAGATTTCTGCTTTTCCTAGGACACTGCCGGAGGGCAAGGCAAAGACCTCGACAAATATGGCAGCACACAAAAGAGCTTCTCAGACAAGGGCCCCGCGAAGCCTCCCAAGGAGAAGCTGCTGAAGGTGGGCAAGCTGAGGCAGGAAAGCATCAAGGGCCGGGTGCCCCACCCCACAGCCAGGCCACGCGCCCCTGCCCACCAGCGCGCTGTGGGCCGAGCCTTCACCTACTACAAGGCGGGCAGGCAGGAGGCCAAAAAAGATGCACCGGAGGCCGCGGCTGGTGAGTGGAATCTCCTGGCTGGTGAGATTCGCCTGCCTGTTCAGCAGCCTCGGAGTCACAGACCTCAGCTCTGTTGTTTGTTTCCTTTCTGGGGTTCTGTGCTTACTCACACACTGGGTAGCAGACCCGAGGCCCCTCGGTATTTGCAACCGTCGTCACCTTTTCTGGATTTTGTTCAAAGATTTGCTGCCGTTCAGCAACGGACCAGGTGACAGAGTGAGGTGGACACGAGTCCTGCCCCTCACAGAGCTTGCGTTTCTGTGGGAGGACCCAGACCTCTGAGGTGGGGAGTGAAATGGGCCCTCTCCCTTCCGGACTGGCCTCTCCCACCAGCTTGGTCCCTGGTGCCCCCACCTGGGCCACAGCCAAGGGCTACACAAGAAGTAACTGGGTTCTTCCAAAGGTGGGGGGAGAGGGTGGAGCGATTAGAGTCCAGTGTTCTTCAAAAATTCCCTCCGATCAGATTCAGTGGTGAAATCCCAGGCACTCAAGAGGTTGAGGCAGGAGTTCAAGGTCGGCCTGAGCTACACAGTAAGAGCCCAACTCAAAAGCAACAAAAACAGCACCCCAGACTTGGCAGCACTGGCCAGTAAATTGCAGCTAGTCAATGTCAAGGCTGGAGTATTGCTTTGTTGTTGTGTTAAATTTATTTATTTAGCCAAGCAGTATAATGGTGGTTTCTGTTCTGCCAGGTCCTACAGCCAGTTAGCCCGAATAAACACACAAAGACTTATATTAATTTGTAAACTCCTGGCTGATGGCTAAGGTTTCTTACTGGCTAGCTCTCTCTTAATTATTAACCCATAACTATTCATCTATGTATTTCTACACAGCCTTTTCTTACCAGAGGACACATGACACATCCTATCTTCCCAGTCTCTACAGGGTGTCTCTTTCTGGTGGCCTCTCTCCACCCCCTCTCCCCATAATTCCCCTTGTCTCAAAGCCCCACCTATACTTCCTGCCTGGCTACTAGCCAATCAGTGCTTTATTCATCAACCAATAAGAGAAACACATATACAGAAGGACATCCCTCATCATCTCCTCTTTTCTGTCTAATAAAAAGAAGGGTTTTTCTGTAACGTTGGGGCATCCATCTTCAGCCCATAGGCCACAGTGTGTCTGGCAGACTTCTCAGTGAAGCAGGAAATTTTAAATTGTCCACCTGCATTGGCAGTTTGTCAGACATTTTTCTCTGTGTCTTGCAGAATGTCTGGTAGACTCTTCCTTGAAGCAAGAAACCTGTAGGACTGTTCAGCAGTCAGTTTCCTGTGAGTTCTGCATGTCCAGTTTATAGTCAAACAGTTCAGGCAAGAGCAATTTCTTTCAGGAGGCAGAGGCAGGCGGATTTCTGTGAGTTCAAGGCTGGCCTGGTCTACAGAGAGAGTTCCAGGACAGCCTCCAAAACAATACAGAGAAAAACTTGTCTCGGAAAAAAAAAGAAAAGAAAAAAAGCAGTGTCTAGTCTGGCTAGTCTCACCATATTGAAAGCAACTCCATATCAAGTTTCTTCGATGCCCATCTTCCTCTCTGATGTAATTGGTATGTTAGGAGCAGTTGTGTCTCACTGTCATGAAAACCCTAAACCATTTTAGATTCCATATTCTGTAGATCTTTGAAAGGTTTGAAGAATATCTATCCATTTGAAATATATCTCTGTATGTCTAGAAAATCTAATTAGCATAACTATGAGTTTGATTATTACAGATGACTACACTCTGAATTTAATTATACATTACATTTTAAAGAGCTATATAAACACAATACCTAAACAAGAGGAGAAATATACATATAACAAAATTGACCTTAAATTTGTATCAAAACATCAAAATCCATACCAATACAAAGTATTCATTTCTCTATCATATTCGCCTTTTTTTCTTTAGAAGGAAATTGACTGTGATCATTAACCATTTATAATCAACTCTGTTAAAATGAAAATAAACAATATTTGAGAATTTGGCCGTAGTTCTCTCCAAACTGCTTCCTGCTGTTTGGAGGCTCTGGGAATACCATGGGATCCTGAGAAAACACAGAAACCTGGCCAAATCCTGGCTGTAGTAGTCTGCAAGGCTGTATCATCTCAGCTGTTTTGGATGTTAGATCATCTAGGCCACTAATTCATGGGGTCTTGCTTGATCAAACCATATTAGTCTGGAAGGAATCCACAGCTTTTCATTTTCTGTGGAAACAAAAACAAAAACCTTTTTCCAAAGTAACATGTCCTTAGACTTAAATTTAGAATTCAAGGCATTGTCAAAATATATAAATTGGATGAATCCAGCAGCATTTATAATCAAGTGTCTTTTAGAAGCTGTTACTCCTTCCTCAGCAATCAAACAATTCAAAGAGAACACAATAGCATAGAGTATCCAGACTCTCTGTGTAGTTTCCATCTTAGATGGCTTTTTTATCATTCTATTTTTTTATTTTTTCCATTTTTTAAGACAGGGTTTCTCTGTGTACTTTTGCCTGTCCTGGATTTCACTCTGTAGACCAGGCTGGCCTCGAACTCACAGAGATCTACCTGTCTCTGCCTCCCGAGTGCTGGGATTAAAGATGTGTGCCACCACTGCCCGGCTACTCTATTTCTTTTGTAACCACTTTATTCTTTTTCTTTTCTCTCCCAAGCCTACGTATATTTTTAAACACACTGTAAACCCTTTAGAGGTTTTACTTCATCTGGATCAGTCTTTACTGTACATCGCTATCTTTTTCTGACCGCTAAACAACATGGCTAAAATTAAAGTGGATGTTTTAGCTGCTGGTTTCCAACATGGCAGGGGTACGTTTACCACCAGCACTAGAAGCGGGGCTCACCGTCTGTGCTCTTGTCCATGCTGCCATCAAGCAGCGTGTAGCATACTGCCCATGAACTTTTTTTTTTTGTCTGCATAGTAAAAGTTAAACCTGTCATGCAGTATGCTCTGGGACTTGAAGACTTGGCCTCTGTGTACCGTGGCAGGAATCAGCCATGCTGTATTCAAGCCTGATTGCCATAGTATCTCTGCACCGTGGCCTGCATGAGAATGTGAGACTAGGAAGCCCATTGCAGCTCCATTTTATGTGGAAACTCTTGCCCCATGTTGGGCGGTGCACGCCTTTAATCCCAGTGCTTGGGAGGCAGAGGCTGGCAGATCTCTGTGAGTTCGAGAACAGCCTGGTCTACAGAGTAAGTTCCAGGACGGTTTCATAGGGAAACTCTGTCTCAAAAAAACAAACAAACAAATAAACAAATATTTATTTATTTAATGTACATTAGGCTTGGCCTGCATATATATCTATATGAGGGTATCAGATCCCCTGGAACTGAAGTTATAGTTATGAGCTGCCATGTGAGTACTGGGAATTGAACCTGGGTCCTCTGAAGAGCAACTAGTGCTCTTAACTGCTGAGCCATCTCTCCAGCCCCCTCCCCCTTTTAAAATAATTTTTGATTTGATTTTAGAGATTTGTTTATTTTTATTTATTTATGTATTTATTTATTTCGATTTTTTCGAGACAGGGTTTCTCTGTATTGTTTTGGAGGCTGTCCTGGAACTCACTCTGTAGACCAGGCTGGCCTCGAACTCACAGAGATCCGCCTGCCTCTGCCTCCTGAGTGCTGGGATTAAAGGCGTGCGCCACCAGCACCCGGCCAAGATTTGTTTATTTTATGTGTGTTGGTGTTTTGCCTGCATGCATGTCTGTATGAGGGCACCAGAACCCCTAGAACTCAAGTTATAGACAGTTGTGAACTCCATGTGGGTGCTGGAAAATGAACCCAGGTCCTCTGGAAGAGCAGTCACTGCTTTTAACCACTGAGCCATCGCGCCAGGCCGGTAGCACACATTTGTAATCCTAGTACTGGGAAGGCAGAGACAAGAAAATCCCACAGGCTCACTGGCTAGCCAGTCTAGCCTAACTAGTTGTCTCAAAGAAGATGGATAGAATTTCTGAGGGTATCTAAATTTTTCCTCTGGCTTCCAAACACATGCACACATGTACACCCCATACATGAGCATGGGCACACACACACATTCATAAAAGAGACCGTGAGAAACACTGGGAAAGAAAAGGTCCCTGTTTCTGAGTCATTCCGCGTGGACCTTCCTCCACAGTCCCAGATGCCAGCTGCTGTCCTTGAATTCTGCCAGCTTAGCCTGGCACGGCACAGGGCCTCTGAACCCTGACTGGGCCACTGCCCAGGCACAGCTTTGGGCATCTGACTCTGCCAAGAAGGATCATGGGAACAAGCTTCCTGTCCTGACAGGCTGCCAAGGCCATGCTCCCTGTGGATTCCCTGACCAAGGGGTCTTTGCTCCCACTGGGTCCCAGGTATGGGGACAGAGTGACCTGCCCAACTGCAGGCAAAAAGGAGCCCACTCAGCTAAGCCTGTGCCAGGAGTGGGGACCCAGAAGGTACAAGCACAGCTAGAGAGGTAGGTATGGGAGGTGAGAGAGGCAGGGGTAGGGGCAGAGGTCTGCGGTCTGGAATTGGCAAGACGCTGGCTGCATCCATCCCTTTCTTGCTTGGGATAACACTAGGTGAAAGAGGCTTAAGGCATAGCAGAGTTGGACCAACATACTTAACACTTAGGAGAAAACAAAAAACAAAAAAACCCTTGTATTTGCCACCACATGTTTGCAGAATCAGTACAAATATTTTAAATGCATTTTCCTCTGTCAACACTATTGTTATGACACTCATTTCACAGAGGTGAGGGCTTGCTCATTAAGAACTCTCCCAGTAAGGGGTTGGCAGAGCTGGGCCCCAGGCCAGAGTGATCAACAGGAAACCCTACCCTGCTCACGAGGAAGTAAGTCTACCTATCTCCCACTTGAGTCCTTTCAATTCCACCACCGTCAGAGAAGCCCCTGAGGAGTTCTGTGGTTGCCCATGGGTACTGAGTCCTCTTCTCTCCTCAGACAACACCCTCAAGGGCACTTCCTGGCTGGAGAAAGTACCACCCAAGATGGAGACCAAGCTTCCAGAGCCGATCCCTGCCAAGCGAGATGGAGTTACGCCACGGGCTTCAGAAGGAGCCAGCTTGGTCCCTGACGTCTCCACCTCCATCCCGGCTCCTGTCACCACTCCCTGGCCCACCGAGCCATCTCTGCATCCAGAAAGCCTTAGCCAAGGTGAGAGAGACTCCTAAGAGTCAGGAAAACCCAACTCATTTCTTGTTTGGTTCTTGATCCAAGAATGTTCAGCTTTATCTAATTGTTTCTGGGTTTTTTTTGTTTTTGTTTTTGGTTTTTGGTTTTTCGAGACAGGGTTTCTCTGTGGCTTTGGAGGCTGTCCTGGAACTCGCTCGGTAGTCCAGGCTGGCCTCGAACTCACAGAGATCCGCCTGGCTCTGCCTCCCAAGTGCTGGGATTAAAGGCGTGCGCCACCAACGCCCGGCCTCCGATACCTTTCTTTCTTTTTTTTTTTTTTTTTTTGGTTTTTCGAGACAGGGTTTCCCTGTGGCTTTGGAGGCTGTCCTGGAACTCGCTCGGTAGACCAGGCTGGTCTCGAACTCACAGTGATCCGCCTGCCTCTGCCTCCCGAGTGCTGGGATTAAAGGCGTGTGCCACCAACGCCCGGCTCTGATACCTTTCTTTAGGTGCGCTCTCCAGTCTGTTTTGTTTGGTTTTCAAGGTGATAGGACTGAGCCCTTGGCCTCCAGCTATCTCCCCCTAGTACTCTTGGGCTGTTTTTTTGTTTGTTTCTTTGTTTTTATTTTTGTTTTGTTGTTTGTTTGTTTGTTTTTTGTTTCTGGGTTTGTTTTGCTTTTGTTTTTTTAGTTTGTTTTTTTTTTTTTTTTTTGGTATTTTTGGTTTTTCGAGATGGTTTCTCTGTATTGTTTTGGAGGCTGTCCTAGAACTCGCTCTGTAGACCAGGCTGGCCTCAAACTCATTGCCTCTGCCTCCCAAGTGCTGGGATTAAAGGCGTGTGCCACCAACTCTCGACTTAGTTTGTTTTTTTGGGACAGGATTTCTCTGTGTAGCCCTGGCTGTCCTAGAACTCACTCCATAGACCAGGCTGGCCTTGAATTCTCTACCTGCCTCTGCCTCCTGAGATGCTGGGATTAAAGGTATATGCTACCATGCCTGGCTCTTTGTCTGTTTTTATGTCCACATTTATAGCTGTAATTTGTGTCACACAGTAGACATTGTTCTCATTAAATCATGGATCTGTCCTTCTGAAGACTCCTGACTGACTGACTGACTGTGATTACAAGTCTTCAGACCCTTCTGAATTCTCCTGACTGACTGTCATTACAAGTCTTCAGACCCTTCTGAATTCTCCTGACTGACTGTGATTACAAGTCTTCAGACCCTTCTGGCCCACGTGCCAGCCCCTTCACGGTTGTCTTACCAGAGGGGTTCACAAGCAACAGCTACAGCTCCCTACAAAGTTCCTGGTCCCGGAAAACTGGAAATAACCTACAGAGCTGGCACTGGGGGTGGGGGAGTGAGCAAATTGAAGGGCACAGCTGCTGGTGGCCTGGCAGGAGGACCCAGAAATCGCATCATTAAAAGGCTATTTAATGATGTGAGAAATCGGTTAGTGGGAGGAGAAAACAGGATGCATAAAGCCATGTGTTGGAGAGGATCACAGTTTTTTTCTTGCAAAAGTCTGGGTGACTGCGTGTAAGAAAAGAAGGCAGGAAGGAAGCAGCACATATTCAAAAGTTTCTTTGTGTGCTAGAATTCCTCTTGGGACCATCCTCTCTTCCTCCCCACTTTTTGTTTTGAGACAGGGTTTCTCTGTGTAGCCTTGACTGTCCTGGAACTCACTCTGTAGACCAGGCTGGCCTTGAACTCTGAGATCTGCCTGTCTCTGCCTCCTGAGTGGTGAGTTTAAAGGCATGAGCCACCACCACCCTGCTTCTTTCCTTCCTTCCTTCCTTCCTTCCTTCCTTCCTTTTATTTTATTATTATTATTATTATTATTATTATTATTATTATTTGGTTTTTCGAGACAGGGTTTCTCTGTATTGCTTTGGAGTCTGTCCTGGAACTCGCTCTGTAGACCAGGCCGGTTTCGAACTCACAGGATCCACCTGCCTCTGCATCCCAAGTGCTGGGATTAAAGGTGTGTGCCACCAATGCCCAACGTCCTTTCTTTTTGAGACAGAATCTTGCTATGTAGCTTGACTGGCCTGGCACTATATAGCCTAGGCTGACCTCAAATTCACTGCAATGGCTATCTTCCTACCTCAGCTTCCACAATCCAAAGACTACAGACATTCACAACACCTGTTTGATTTTCAGGTATTAGGAGACACCCGAGCTCGTTCTTCTGTCAAACTGCACTTCTGAGGGTTTGGCTGGCGTCTCCCAACCCCACTATTACCCACCACTCTATTCTCTGCTTCTCTGAGACATGTAAAGGGAAGACTTTTTCTTTTTCTTTTTTTTTTTTTCCTTTTTTCTTTTTGGTTTTTCGAGACAGGGTTTCTCTGTATTGTTTTGGAGACTGTCCTGGAACTAGCTCTGTAGACCAGGCTGGCCTTGAACTCACAGAGATCCGCCTGCCTCTGCCTCCCAAGTGCTGGAATTAAAGGCATGCGCCACCAACGCCCGGCTGGAAGCCTTTTTCTTGAGAGAAGCCTTCCCACCAGCCTGGTTCCAGAGCCGCATCAGTCCCAAATAAACACACAGGAGGCTATATTAATTATGAAGCTGTTGGCCTTGCTTGTTTCTTACTGGCTAGCTCTGACTTAAGTAATTACCCCATAATTGTTAATCTAAGTATTTCTCTTACCGGAGAATAGTTACGGGCTTCCTACCCCATGGTGTCAACATCTTGACTCTCTGTGTTCCTCCTTCCCAGAGTCCTTCTGGACTCCTAGTCCCACCTATCTAGATTCCCTATTGGCCAGCAGTGCTTTATTGACATATGCACAGGACTTCCCCAACAGAGACGGACTCTTTTTTGTGCTTTATTTTCCCATAGAGTAGATGCTAGACTTTGAATGGTATACATCCCCTCTGTTCTCCTTACTGTCCCTGCTTTTTCCAGTGATTAGGCATTGCTTTGGTCGTAGGCCAAAAGTCACCAACAAAACCTTCGAGAGAGTTAAAGTTCATAAGCCAGGCATGGTGGCACATGGCTAGAGAGGCTGAGACAGGCAGATCTTGAGTTCAAGGCCAACCTGGTCCACAGAGCCAGTTCCTGGACAGTCAGAGCTACACAGTGTAAACCTGTCTTGGGAAAAAAAAAAAAAGATACTTGGATCACTTTCTAGACCCCCTGCTCTGGGTTGGAACTCTTGGCTCTGTATGTCAAGTGCTGTGTCCTTTGCTCCTTGCAGGCAGGGAGAACAGCTGTGAGGGTACCCTCAGAGCTGTGGACCCCCCTGTGAAGCACCACAGTTATGGGCGCCATGAAGGGGCTTGGATGAAGGACCCTACAGCTCTAGATGACAGGATCTACGTCACCAACTACTACTATGGAAACAGCCTGGTGGAATTTCGAAACCTGGAAAATTTCAAACAAGGTCAGGGAAGCTGGGTAGGAGAGGGAAAGGGAGAAGGGTGTGCGGATGGTCCTTCCTGTGCCTGTGATTCCCAACGTCCAGCCTGTCCTAGCTCCAAGGACTGATGTCTGAGGGCCCAGAGAATCCTGTTAGCCACTGCTGGGAACTGATCGCAGGGGCAAAGGAGGCAGATGTGGCCCCGCCTCGTGACCTCACGAGTGTGACCTGCTCTGGTGCTTCTGCTCGCTGAGTGTTCTGTGCAATTGCCTGTGCGTGTTTGTCCCAGTGTGGGTTTCTGTTGCTTCTATGAAACACCACGACCAAAAGCAAGTGGGGAGGAGAGGGTGTATGTGGCTCAGACTGCCACATCACTGCTCATCATCCAAGAAAGCCAGGACACCTTTAATCCTAGCATCAGGAGGCAGAGGCCAGCCTGAATCTCTGTGCTTTGGAGGCCAACCTGATCTACATAGTGAGTTCCAGGATAGCCAAGGCTGGCTACATAGCGAGATCATGTCTCAAACAGAACAAACCAACAAAAACTATCCAGCTCAGTGTCCACTCACATTTTATCAATCTTCCTAAATCCATGAGACTATTGCCTGCTTTCCAAGAAAGAAGGCCTCGGGTCTTTGAAGACTTGCAACTCTGGGCAAGGCCTACAGTGGGACTCTGAGCACGAGGGGGAGAATTTTTGGTTATTAGATCTGGAGCAGGACGTGGGGAAAGGCCATTAAAACTCTTACTTTCCAGCAATTCATCTTCTGGAAGAGGGAAAGGCTTAAAGGGGCGGTCTTGGTACAGTTTAGGTCAGTCAAGTTCAGAGCTCTGTGAGAAGAACGTGGAGATACAGGAAGACTTCAGGGGGCTTCGAGTGCTGAACTGAGCTCTGCGGAGGACCAGGAGGAAAATGAGAGAGAAGGAGAGGCGTCTCAGACAGGAGGCTCAGCGTGTGTAGAGGCCTGGCAGAAGCCACATGGTGTCATGGAGTGGGGTAGTGAGAACAGGGTGGGGTACAGTCCCATGTAGGAGAACCATGGGATCACAGACAATGTCCTGGAATAACTCACATCCTTTCAAAGCTCAAGATTGGCTTGGCCTGTGTCTGGAGCCGCTCACAGGCTGGTAGATGTGACAAGTGCCAAAGCAAAGCCTGAGGGGAGGCCTAACTGTAACCTAGGGAGGTCGCCTTGGCTAGGGACACTGAGGCAGGTAGGCATTCCCTACGCAGATTGGACGGGGGGTAGCAAACCTGGCCCAGTGAACATCATATGCAAAGCCTCTGAAACGGCACATGGTTAACATCACCCTGCACCTCAATCCTAGCTCCAATGTCACAACTGGGGACCTGGAAGCCAGGACTCGTGGGAACATGGAGGATGTTAGTACTTCCTTCATGGCACGATTGTATGAACCAGATGATGGGCTCAGGTCCAGTCATACGGTCAAGTTTTGGTGCCAAATGCTTGTTGGGCACTGGGGAGCCCTTGATGGTCTCTGTGGTGACGTTCTAGTTTACTTTCTGTTGCCCAGGAAACTTGAGAAGGAAGCGTTTACTTTATACTTCAGTCACTCAGGGAGGTCAGGGCCAAGAAGGCAAGGCAGAGACCCCAGAGGAGTGTTGCTCTCTGGCTGGCTCTCCAGGTCATGCTGAGCTAGCTTTCTTTTTGTTTGTTCTGTTGAATTTGTGAAATTTTTGTTTGTTTACTTGATTTGTTTTCTGGATAAGGTTTCTCTGTGTAGCTCTGGCTGTCCTAGAACTAGCTCTGTAGACCAGGCTGGCCTCAAACTCACAGAGATCCACCTGCCTCTGCCTCTGCCTAAGTGCTAGGATTCAAGGCGGGCGCCACCACCGCCCAGTGTGTTTTTGTTGTTGTCTTTTTGTTTTGTATTTTTGAGACAGTTCTCACTACATAGCCCTTGATGTCTTGGAACTCACTATGTAGACCAGGCTGGCCTTGAACTGACAGAGATCACCTGACTCTGCTAGGATCAAAGGCATGCACCTCTACACCCTACCCAGCTAGCCAGCTAGCTTCCTTATATAGCCCTGGCCACTTACCTAGGCATGGCCTTCCCACATCCATCATCAAGCAAGACGATCTGTCACAGATTTGGCCACAGGCCGATGTGACCTGGGCAGTTCCTCTAGGTTGATTCAAACTAACCGGCACAGGTGGGCTGGGCTGCCCGGGATGTTCTGGTATGACCCTCCGCTTTCCATATGCAGGTCGATGGAGTAACATGTACAAGCTACCCTACAACTGGATCGGCACAGGCCATGTGGTGTACCAGGGTGCCTTCTACTACAACCGTGCCTTCACCAAGAACATCATCAAATACGACCTGCGCCAGCGCTTTGTGGCCTCCTGGGCACTGCTGCCTGATGTAGTCTACGGGGACACCACACCCTGGAAGTGGCGTGGCCACTCAGACATTGATTTTGCTGTGGACGAGAGTGGTCTGTGGGTCATCTACCCAGCTGTGGATGAAGATGGAACCCAGCATGAGGTGATTGTGTTGAGCCGCCTGGACCCTGGAGACCTCTCTGTGCACCAGGAGACCACGTGGAAGACACGGCTGAGGAGGAACTCCTATGGGAACTGCTTCTTGGTGTGTGGCATCCTGTACGCCGTGGATACTTACAACCAGCATGAAGGCCAGGTGGCCTATGCCTTCGACACCCACACAGGCACTGATGCTCACCCACGGTTGCCCTTCCTCAATGAGTATTCCTACACCACTCAAGTTGACTACAATCCCAAGGAGCGGGTGCTCTATGCCTGGGACAATGGCCACCAGCTCACCTACACCCTCAGCTTCGTGGTCTGAATGGGGGCCTGTGTTCACAGGGGAGGGCAGCAGAGGAGTAGGGGCTGTCCCTACCAACTCCTACAACCGATATCAATATCAGTTGGGGGTGTCCTGGGCTAGGTATTGGCTTTGATGGCAGCCAAGGCAGAGTGTTGTGCTGAGGGCTTTTCCTGCGTTTACCCTTTCGATTCTCACTGCTTCTCCTGGAGGTAGAGATCCTTAACCCGCTGAGCAGAGGAGGTGACTGAAGCCCAAAGGGGCAGCACCCAGTTGTAGTAAGGTAGGCTGTGTTATCACAGTAGCCACGTCTTATAGATAAGATGACCTCGCCCAGCTCTTGCCATCTCCAGCACCCTTCCCAGGGCTCCACAAAGCCTGAGGTCTTTGGTACCTGTGCACTGACGTTCCACAGCTCCAGGCCCCTCTTCTGGTAACCTTGAGCGCCTCTTGACCTGTGGTCGTCCCCTGAGCTCCCCTGCTCTTTCTGACCACAGAACTTCCAGAAGTTCACTGTCACAACTCTGAAGCAAGCACAGGCTGGGTGGCTACTCCTTGCCCTCCCTGCACATCCCTCAACAACCGAGAAGGGCTGGGCAGCTCAGCTCTGCAACATAGGGTGCTGGCTCGAGCTCCCCCATCTCAACTTCTGTATCAGAGGCCTTGGTCTTGGCCACCTAGTAGGCCTTGACTCCTCCCGTATCCTTTCCCAAAGCCTTGGGTCTCAGGTCCTTTGTGAACCTTCAAAGCTAGCGCTCATACTCAGGGATTGCTAGGAGTAAGGCCTTTGTCCCTGGAGAGGGTGGCCCCGAGATGGAACCGGCTCCCTCTTCCTTGTCGATCCTGATCTGATCATCTGGTGGGCGGTCCAGCAGCCTGGGAATCTGGGGGAGACAGCACAGAGGGGTTCAGAAGAGACCTTGGGGCCTTCTCTGGTTGCAGGGCGAAGCCAGGAGATAGAATCAGGAAAGGGGAGACTAGGGTCTCAGCACCGGGATTTTCTTTGAGACAGGACTTGGGACTGTGGACATGTGTCAGCTTCCCTGCGATGGGGTTGGCGGCTGCCCTGGTACTGCTTGTCGCTCACGTGTCTCTACACACGCACAGCCCTGAGCACGCAACCTCTCGAGCCAGCATACGGCTTCTTTTTAAAGCTGTAGAGAAGTCCTTTTGCCCATCTCCTTGTTTTACCAAAGCAAATACAGGTCTCAACAGTTCTAGGGTGGAGTCACACAGGCCAGGGCATAGCTGATCTCCTTTGGAAAAGCCCTGTACCCTCCCACCTGGGAGACAGCTCTGCCTGCAAAGAAAACAGACCCCAGCACTGGACCCTTCTCTGTGCCCTTGGCCGGCTCCTAGGACACCTGCTGTGGAAACCCATTATGAAATCAATCTCAGTGTGCAGCGCTGCAGAGGGAGATTCAGACTCTGTGCAGACTTCATTTCCTCCAGACATTGTTGGGTGATGTTCTGCTTAAGGAGTAACTCACCCCTGAAATAAAGAGGGACAGTGACACCCAGCCCAGCCAGGTCTGACTTACAGTGGTAGCCACACCCAGCTCCCCCACCCAACTGACCACCACAAGTTCCCCTTCTGGCCTTGTCAGAGGACTTGGGACACACCCCTCCCCAGTGCCTGTGCACACCCTGACCTTTCCCTTGGCCCTGGGTGTGTGTATTTTGTGATGTCATGGCCCAGCCATGTGAGAGGTGCTCAGGCCACAGCAGCAGTCTAGGGAACAGGAACACTAGATACATTGGTTTGAAGAGTAAACATGTGACATAGTTTCCAGGGGTGGGACACAAGGCCAGCCCTCGTCCCCAACCCTCCTTCAGGTCCCTCCTTCTGTCTTCAGGCTTTTGTGTGTTGTATGGTAAATACAGTTCATTTCCTCATTTATAAATAGTCACAGTGGGTCCCAGATGAGTCACTTGTCACATAGTCTGGAAATGGAAGACCCAGGTTTCCCAATCAGGTCACCTGTCACTGTTACCTGAGAACCATCCGTGTGTTCTACATACTGTTGAAAGTAGACTATAAGTACACCTGCCCATGGCAAGGCAAACATAATACACAGGCGTTTACCTAAGACCACAGAGCAGGATAGCCTGTGGCAGAACTAGGGGTTCAAGGCTGCTCAGATCATGTTTTTTGCCATCTTTATGTTGACAACAAACTCCGGAAGTGCTGATAGTTGACAGTCATTCAAGATAGCCATGGGAAAAGTCCCCTGAAAGGCCAGCTTTGAATGCCAAGCCAAGGAGTGGACACACCTAGTCAAGTCTAGAACAAAATGGTATAAACTAACAGAGTCAAGGACATTCCTTCTTTGGATTTGTTTATTTATTATATATATAGTTATGCCTGCAGGTCAGAAAGGGCACCAGGTCTCATTACAAAGCAAATCTGGCTCCACTACCACATACACACACACACACACACACACACACACACACACACACACACACACACACACACACACACAGACACCGTCACACATTCATACGCACACCACTCATGCATATTCCTTGGTGCATTGTGCCAGGCAATGGGTACTTCATAGGAGGTGAGGTCTGGACTATGTAGAACTGACCTCCTTATGAAGGCAAAAGTGTCTGAACAACCAACTCTTCAGGTGAAGGAGCTTCGGCTTGCATCGCTGACTCCTCTCCAGAGATTGCCAGGCTTTGAATGGGTGTTGGATCACTGAGCCCCTCAAACCCCTTAGCCTTTGAATCTAATCCACTCTTCAGGGGGGGAAGGAAGGGAACAGCACGAAAGACACAACGGGGGGCTCCTGTAGATGATATTCTTCCTCGGCATCAGAGAAGCTTTGCGGTGTAGGGCAAGACACTGTGTAGGAGCCGGGCGTTGGTGGCGCACGCCTTTAATCCCAGCACTCGGGAGGTAGAGGCAGGCGGATCTCTGTGAGTTCGAGGCCAGCCTGGTCTATAAGAGCTAGTTCTGGGACAGCCTCCAAAGCCACAGAGAAACCCTGTCTCGAAAAACCAAAAACAAAAGACACTGTGGCTGTCAGAGAGTCCTAGGTGCAGTGGATGCCTCTCCCATGCTCCCCTTCCCTCAGGCTGGATAGGGGTCTTAGGTGCCCTGAGACAGCTGGGACCAAGACTTGGTGACGACAGAGGAGTTCAGGAGATCCCCCAGCACCTTCCGGAATTGGAAGTCACCTCGGCTTGTCTCACCACTCCCTCTAGAACTCCCAAGCTCTCTCTCACAGGCTGTGAGCCTCAAGTTTGGAGGAGCTGCACAATGTACTCAGGGCCAGCATTCACAGGTGAGATAGGAACGAGGTCTCTTTAAACCAGAATCCCCAACTAACTGTTCGAACTAGCCATGCTTTTTTCTTGGCTTGGGCCAATAGGAAACTCAAGAAAGTTTGAGATCATTTTAAACATTTTTATGGAGTTTAACCAACTTCATTCTAGCCTTTCGTATGTACTTTTACCCTGATTTATTTTCATTCTACTGTATTAAATCTATTTTATTAAGGTTCCACAATATCTCTTTGCAACAGAGCAGCATATACATAAAACACACACACACACACACACACACACAAAACACCGTGACTACAGGTGAATGTGGTACACATGTCTTTGATCCTTGCACTTGGGAGGCAGAGGCAGGAGGATTTCCGAGTTTGAGATCACCCTGGTCTATAAAGCAAGTTCCAGGACATCCAGAGTTACACAGAGAAACCCTGTCTCAAAACAACAATTGAAAAAGAAGCCTGAAAGCTTGATTTAAAGTCTTAAGTTGTTGTGAACTACAACTGGGGGTGTAGCTTCGCAGCACACCGCTGCTTACAGCATATATGAGGGCCTGGGGTTATTCCCAGCCTCACACAAGAAGGAAGCAAGCATTTCTGGGTCTGTGTCCTTGTATCATGTATATGTATTTAATAACTTTTCTCAAACTTGGTATGACTCAGGAGATCGTCTTCATTCCTGATTCTCTTGCCTTTGTTCCTTGAGTGGATGGCAGGCATCATGGCCTGCGGTCTTTGTCCTAGTTAGGTTTCTGTTGGTGGGATAAAAACACAATCCAAATCAACTTTTAGAGGAAAGGGTTTATTTCCTCTTATGTGCCCAGTTTATTACTGACAGAAGTTGGGGAAAGACTCAAGGAAAAAGACCTGGAGGCAGGAATTGAAACAGGAACTCTGGAGGAATGCAACTGACTAGCTCTCTCAGCTTCTTATATAACCCAGGGTGGGCTCCACCTACAGTGGCCTTAGCCCTCCCTTATTAACCGTGAAAATGTCCCCACAGACCAATCTGATGGAGGTAATTCTTCAACTGTGGTTCCCTCCCGTTCTGACAAAAACTAACCAGTGCAATATTTAATAGCTTAAGAGAGTCCTCAGAGCTGGGTGTGATGGCTGCACAGTGCACTCAGGAGGGTGAGGCAGGAAGATCTTGCCTTTGAGGCCAATTTGGGCTACAATAGAGAGACCCTGTGTGGAAAAAGAAAGAGAAGCAAACGTTTCAGAACAGCAACAACAAAAGTTTAGTGTGAGGACTGACGTTGTTTCTGTCACTGGAGACCAGCCAGTGTCCTGTGCTATGTAGACTATGACGGTGAACCCTGGCCATTTCCCACTTCATGTACCACTGAAGAAATAATTTCGTTTTTGTTTTTTTTCTCACTGTGCCACCATGGCTGGTCTTGAACTCACTATGTAAACCAGGCTGCCCTCAAATTTCCAGAGATCTTCCTGTCTCTGCCACCAGAGTGCTGGGATTAAAAATAGGCAGCACCACACCCCGAGAAGGAACTATGCACCCTTTCTCTGGGATGAGGGTGCAGGAAAAGCAAGAACAAGAAAAAGGTCTCTGGAGAAACTCTTATGAGTGGGAAGCGGCCTGGGACAGCGCTTGAGCCCACATGCCTCAAATGCAGCCCCGCGTCTTTGCCTCTCTCTACCCCTAGACCAGTCCATCTGTCTACTACGTGTGTCTACCTACGTGTGTGCACTTGGTGTGGTGGTGTGGGTGCCATGGCGCATGCCGAGCTCAGAAAACAGCCTTTTGGGTATCAGTCCTGACCTTTCCTCCTTTTTGTTTCTGGTTTTGTCCTTTTGAAACAGGGACTCACTATTTAGCACTGACTGTCCTGGAACTTATACAGACCAGGCAATTCACCTGCCTCTGACTCTTCTTGGGGGTTGGGGGCAGGGTTTCTTTGCGTAGCCCTGGCTGTCCTGGAACTCGCTCTGTAGGCAGGCTGGCCTCGAACTCACAGAGATCCGCCTGCCTCTGCTGGGATTAAAGGTGTGCACCATCACCGCCCAGCCTGGCCTCGGACTCCTGCGTGCTGGGATTACAGTGGTCCCTACTCCTGGTTTCTGCCTTGCTTGAAACAGGATCTCCTTGCTGTTGGCTGGTCCACGGGCTTCTGGAGGTTCTCCTGTCTCCACTTCCCTGGAAAACCACAGTCCAGATCACAGAGAACTGCATCACTACACCAGGTTTTATGTAGGTTCTGAGATCTAAATGCCTATCTGCAGGATTGTGTGGCCAGTGATCTTTCCAACCAACCCTTCTTCCCGACCCCGTGCTTCCCTGTTTGTTATAAATGCTCCCCTTCCTTTTATAGAAATACTTCTTTTTCCCAAATAAGCCTTTAGAAGCTGCTAGCCAAGCAAAGCAATTGTTTTTAATTTTAAGGAGCAAACTTTCATTTTGCAGTAGTAAAAAGGGAGATGGTATCAATGATTACAAACAGACAGTGACTGCACACCACTTGAGTTCAGGCAGTGCTGGGGGCATCCCAGCTTGTGGCGTGTTGGCAGAACCTCCTGCCCTGTGTTTAGAAGGAAGGCAAGAGTGGGGCTCTTAGGGGTGGAGCACTTGATTAATATACGCTAGGGCCTGGGCTCCACCCCCAGCACTGCAAAAAAAAACAAAACAAACGGACAGTGAGATGGTTCAGCCTGTAAAAGTGGTTGCAAGCCTGATGGTCTAAACTCAATCCCTGGGATTCTGCATTAAGGTCCTTCACATGGTGGTTTGGATACTACCACCGTGGACTACTTAACTGATTGTCCCGTCCCCCCACCCCCACCCCTTTTAAAATTTATTTAAACACTTTTATTTTATGTGTGTGGGCATTTTCCCTGCATGTATGTAGGTGCACCATGTGTATGCTCGGTGCCCTTGGAGGCCAGCAACAGATTTCCCCAGTAACTGGAGTTACAGACAGCTGTGAGTTGACATGTGGGGGCTTGGAATTGAACCCAGGTCCTCTGGAAGAGCAGCCAGTGGTCTGAATCATTGAGCCATTACTCCAGCTCCTATACAAACACTGGGATGTGTTCAGCTGAATCACTGAGCTGTTGCTCCAGCTCCTATATAAACACTCTGGGATATGTTCAGCTGGGCTTTGCTTTCCATAACTGCAGAGCCCTTGCCATATCAGGAAGCTGGACCCTGTCTCTGGGGTTCAGGGCCTCTGGAGCTACACCCTCACCCTACACAGAGCTGACCATAGCTGGACTTTGGGTACCCTTGACCACAGACCCTTGGGCCTGTCACCCTCCCCACTGCCCCTTCTTCTGTGGCACAGGTCTTTCCATAAACTTAACACCCACACCTACCGTGAAGGTTTGAGTAAGAATGGCCTTATATTGGGACTGGAGAGATGATTCAGAGGTTAAGAGTACTGACTGCTCTTCCAGAGGATCCAGGTTCAATTCCCAACATCCACCTGGCCGTGCACACAACTGTCTGTTAATTCTACCTCCAGGGTATTCAACACCCTCATGCATGCATACATGCAGACAAAACACCAATGCACATAGAATAAAGATGAATAATAAGTCATTTATTTGAACAAAAGAATGATGTTTTATATGTATATATTTGAATATGAGGCTCATATATTTGAATGCTTGGCCACCAGGAAGTGGCACCATTTGAGAGGATTAGAAGGATTAGGGGATGTAGCCTTGTTAGAGTAGGTGTGACCTTGCTGGAGTAATTGCATCACTGGGATGGGCGTTGAGGTTTCAAAAGCCCATGCCAGGCACAGTTGAGGATGTCACTCTTGGCTGCTGTCTCGGTGCTTGCCCGCATGCCACCATGCTCCCCACCATGCTGAACATGGACTAAACTTCCAAAGCTGCAAGCAGACTCCAAATCAATGATTTCTTTCATAAGTCTTGTCTTGGTCAAGGCATCTCTGCACGGCTATAGAACAGTGACTAAGACACCTACGTATCCTGCATCCCTCTTGGCATTTGGGTCCTACTGAAATGCCACCTTGTCACCTTAAACCCTAAGGCAGGATCTAAATTTGGCCCCAGTTCCATGTTCTTCTGTCTCTGTTCAAAAACCAGTATCCATCAATTTACTGGCTAGAGGATCCACCAGAATCAATTCTACCAGCATGCACAACCTTTGGAGAAAGATCTGCCATCCACAGAGAATCTGGGTCAGACCCTCAAGACAGGTTCATATAGCCCCTTGGCACTTGGCCCCAAGGTCATGACCACTAAGTGCGATGTCTTTCCTTAATTTATTTATGGGGTTTGTTAGTTAGTTTGTTTTTCTGAGACAGGGTTTCTCTGTAGCCCTGGCTATCCTAGAACTCACTCTGAAGACCAGGCTGGCCTTGAACTCAGAGATCCCCCTGCTTCTGCCTCCCGAGTGCTTGGATTGGAGGTGAGCACCACCACCACCCGCTCCTTAACTTATTTATGCAATAGTATTTATTAAGATTATCTAAGAAGCTGCTCAGGCTACACAAAACTCTTTAGAATAGAAAGCAGGATGTCGTGAAACATAATGACCTGTAATCCTACTACTTGAGAATCTAAGGCAGGAAGATTGAAACCACCCTGGGGTTTCAGAAGATCCTGTTTCATGTCTCTTGATTTATTGGGTAAAGAAGGCCTGGGTTCAATCCCTGGAGTTGCCACAAATGTGGAAAGATAGCGCCAACTCCATAAAGTTGTCCTGTAACACGAAAAATAAAAGACCCAGAGACAGATATTGGGGTTCAAGCTTCACGCTGAAGATCAGAGAAGCAAAGCAGCGGAGCCAGTAGTTTTTACTCTCCCAGCTGAATCTGAAAGAGGATGAAAGGTGCGTGATCTCAAGTGCTGGAATGAAAGGTGTGAGCTCTGCTATTCCTCACTCTTGTGTAGGTTAGGGTGGCCTTGAACCCGAGAGATAGACCCATCTGCCTGTCTCCTGAGTCCTGCGATTAAAGGTGTGTGCCACCAGTAATTTCTACAGATAACTAGTGTGGTTGCTCTGCAAACTGATCTCCAGTGGCTTAATTAGATCATAAACAAAATATCACCACATTGTCCTTCAAGTGTGCACACACAGACTGATACACATACGCTAAGCAGATGTTAATATTAATAATAAAAAAAAATAATAATAAAAATAATAATAGCCGGGCGTTGGTGGCGCACGCCTTTAATCCCAGCACTCGGGAGGCAGAGGCAGGAGGATCTTTGTGAGTTCGAGGCCAGCCTGGTCTACAGAGCGAGTTCCAGGACAGCCTCCAAAGCCACAGAGAAACCCTGTCTCGAAAAACCAAAAAAATAATAATAATAATAATAATAAAAAGAGATCCTATCAGAAACAAAAAAGCAATGAATTCTGGCTTGAGATTAGTACTTCTTAGAGTTTAGGATTAGAATTCTCAACAATTCTTGAAATGAGTGGGAACAGTATGTACACCAATGAAGCCAAAAAAAAGACCTCCCCTCTGTGTCTTTGTCCTGACAACACGCTCCCTTCAGGCCCAGCTTCATGGGGAGCTAATGGAGGAGCTAATGGCTCCTGGTGCCTCCCTCCCCTAGCAGCACAAACCCAGGGTGAGTTTGCAATAAAGTCCTTGGCACCTGAGCAGCTGCATGTCCTGGGAGAGCCATCAGGCCCCAGAGCTGCAGGTGTATTTTTCTGACAGGAGACAGCAAGGATGGATCCAGAACGGGTCTTCATCTGGGGCCTAGGACCCCATCTTGGCTCTGGGTCACTTTGGGCAGGGAGTGGTCGTAGAGAAGGCGGGGCTCAGGGAGTGGATCGAGAAGTGAAAGGGACTCTCCCCAGCCCTCCCGAGAGAGACAGACACCACTGATGAGCCAGGGCCATACCAAGGCAATGGGACTCGCACGTGGAGCCCCAGGCCCAAGCGGCTATCGACTGCCCTTTACAAACCCGAGCGCGCTGCTGCGGCCACAACACCCGGACAAAGTGGAGAATGTGGGGCCCCGACATCTTTCTGCACCAGGCGGAGAATGGGTAGTCAGCGCCTTCCCCCCAACAAAGCAGGTGTAGCGGACTGTGAACAATGAGTAGCAAGTTCAGGCAGTTACCCAGAACCTTAGTGATATGCCCAGGCCTTCAGGCTTTTAGGGATTCAGACCTACCAACCAGCAGGGTGGAGAGCAGAGACCTCAGATAGGAAGGCAGTAGGTGGACCCTGCCTTCCACAGGATCCTCGATCATGTGGTCTCGTTGGTGGGCCTGTCCTGGGCCACTGGTGCCTTTCTGGGGCTTCTCACTTGCTGGGTTGGAAGGCTGCCCTGCTGCAAGCTGCACTCCCCATGCCGTGGCATAGGGTTACAGCGGAAGCTGGCAAAGGGACGCTCTCGGGGAACAACTGCAGGTGAGGGGCCCATGTGATGCTCCCCATGTCCCCTGGGGCCCATGTGATGCTCCCCATGTCCCCTGGAGAGCACCGTCTCTTAGCTCTTATGATTCCAACTACAGCTCTCTCATTCCAGGAGAGACAGAAGCTCTTGCCATCCAATGACAACGTACAGAAGAGCATATTGGATTAGACTGGACTAGGCTCTGCCCACACAATAGCAGAAACAGGTGGACACAGTGAGGCCAGTTGCCTTTTGGCTGCCATTAGCCCAGCTCTGTGGTGGGGAGCGAGCCAGCCTAAAGGGCCTTGCTAAAGGATAGTGTCTTGCTGCCGAGATTCCAACAGGAGCCCACACTGTCCTTTCCTTGTGTAGTTGGCAATGACTCAGCTGCATGGTACCTGGGTTGGTGTGCAGAGGCAGCAAACGGGAGTACCAAGCTTTTCCTGTTTAATCAAGAGAGTAGAGAGTGCTTGGGGGTGAGAGATAAAGTACTTTGGGTTCAGGGAGTAACCACAGAAGATAGTTCCTTAGTAGCCAAAGGAGTGGCCGGCATGAAGGGGAGATTTGTATACGCAGGACTGAGAACAGGCGGGGCCAGGTCAGGAGCAAAAGCTGTGAGGTGGCTGGAGAAGCCGGCTTCAGAGCAGGCAGGCGTGGAGGGAGGGAGTGGGTCAGAGATGAGCTGGTGCGACCTTGAAGGGAACTGATATGGGCGGCCAGATGCTGGGATGTAGAGGAGGGCAGGGTGGGGCAGACATGTTCAGCAGATGGAACCCCCCAGCCCTGGCCAGTTCTGATCTGCCTGAGGAGGCACACGATTGAAGGGGTGATGGGGATCTGGCCGCCGAGGTCGGGGCAGTAGGGAAGGAGGCTGATGTGAGATCCAGGTGCCAGGGCAGGGCATCACCTGAGCTGATTGGATGGTACAGGGCCTTCGAGGTTGGGGTTCGCACAGTGGGCGGGAACTGTGTGGAGAACCTGTTGTGAAGAGACTGGTGAGAGGAAGTCTGGACAGAGGCCAGAGAAGTCAGGAAAGGCCTGAGAAGGGACTCTGCCTTCCTCATGCACCTCCTGAGGCCTGGGGTCCGAAGTCCCAGGGCTGGGTTCGTCTGCTGGGATCTTCTGCGGCACAGCTGCGTCCAGGGGCCCGGTCAGCCCCATTCTCCATTAGGCTACAGACGAGTCCTGGCTGCACACTCAGACGCCATCCATCCACCCATCGCTCCTGATCACGGCCTTTTAACCTTCATCTTTCTCATCAGTTGTGTGTAACTATAACCCTGTCACTTGGGAGGAGGAGACGTGAGGGTCAGGAGTTCAGGGGCTGTTTCAGAACCCTTCAGCATAGCAGGTTAATATAGCCTAGGCTACATTCTACTCAGTCTCAAAATACCAAAGCTAGCAGACAAAAGAAAAGAAAAATAAAGTAATATAAGAAAGAGCCCAAGCCGGGCATTGGTGGCGCATGCCTTTAATCCCAGCACTCGGGAGGCAGAGGCAGGCGGATCTCTGTGAGTTCCAGGCCAGCCTGGTCTTCAAGAGCTAGTTCCAGGACAGCCTCCAAAGTCACAGAGAAACCCTGTTTCAAAAGGCAAAAAAAAAAAAAAAAAAAAAAAAGAGAGAGAGAGAGAGAGCCCAAAGAAGAGGTGGGTGTTTTGTTCTCTTCTGAGTACACCATTGTATCCTTATTGTATCCTTTAAACTCTCAGCGGCTGTGGTCATAGGCATAGGATGCACAGGACTCACCAACATCCATCATGGAGGGATGGGACGCATAAGGTACCCCACACACATGATTTATATAGACAGTTAATGGTTGCTGAGAGATTTTCTTCAGAAGTGTACCACTTTCAGATCATTCTTGTAAATGACCCCATCCATGCCCTAATTAAATAATGTTTCACAAAGAAAGATTAATATAAACAAACAACATTAATATAAAATAAATGTTGGAAAGGATCAGAGAACTTATAATCCTCGTGCATCCCAATGGGGAAAGGTTGACAACATGCCTTAATGGCTGTGGGAACAGATTTGGGCTGGCTTGGCTTTTCCTCAGATTTCTCCCTCTAAGATACTTTTCTGAGTCCTAAGCTTTACACTGGAGCTCCCTGCTACTTGGGAGCCAGAGTGCCCCCAAGTCAAGCTCCCTGGGATGAACTGCATCTGTAATGTAGGGTAGTTCCTGGGAAACTGAACTTCACAGCTTGAAACTTCCCCCAATCATGTCAAGCAGGGGTGCCGCAGGCCATGGAGGAGACACGAGGCATTTCTGAAGCAGCTGTCTGTTTGAAACACAGTAAATATTAATGGGGTTGGGGGTGTGCGCATAGATTTGGAAGGTTTTAAAGCTGTGTCTCTGAGATGATGCTGGGCTATGCTTTCCGGCTCCCACATGGCTAAGGCTGTGCGCTCACTGCCTGTCCCCTTGGGATTTATTGTTTTAGGAGACACTGGTGTGTTGCTCTTTTGTTTGTTTTGGCTTTAGAGACAGGGTTTCTCTGTGTAGCTTTCGAGCCTATCCTGGAACTCACTTCATAGATCAGGCTGACCTCGATCTCAGATCCACCTGCCTCTGCCTCCTGAGTTCTAGGATTAAAGGCATGTACCACCACTGCCTAATTTTGTGTTGTTCTAATAGATGTGTTAAAAATGGCCCTGGTGGAGTTGGCACAAGTTCTTGGGTATGGGGTAAGGAGGTGCCTGTCTGTAATTCCGGAACTCAGAAGGTGGAAAATTGAGGATAAGAAGTTCAATGTCATATACATGTACCCCTGCCTAAAAGTTAATAAAACTTAAAAACAGTGATAGAGCAATTGCTCTACCAGTAGTCTTTTTTTTTTTTTTTTTTTTTGGTTTTTATGAGACAGGGTTTCTCTGTATGTTTTGGAGGCTGTCGGTCCAGCCCGGGCCTCGAACTCACAGAGATCCACCTGCCTCTGCCTCCCGAGTGCTGGGATTAAAGGCGTGCACCACCACTGCCTGGCTCTACCAGTAATATTATCAGTACCCAGGATGACCTGTAACCCACTAGGCAACCAGGCTAGCCTTGAACTCATGGTAATCTTTCTACCTTAGCCTTCCAAGCACTGAGGTTGCGGGCAGGAGGCCCCATGCCCAGCGGAAATGCCATCATTCTGCTTCATTTAAACGACACACGCAGCAAGAAGCTGTTTACCGCCTCCTGGCACTTTTCTTACACGGCATATGAGTTACCCACTAGCTAGCTCACACTCTTGTGGGAGGCACTGCAAAGGAACCCTCATTTTCCTTGTACAGTTCTCAAGCCAGTCTGAGGCCTCTGATAGTAACCAGCAGTTACAACGTGCTGCTGTGGAGTGGGCTCAGCGGGAGACCCATGTGGGCCAGGTGAGGATGTGTGGGGGAGAGGAGGGCGTGACCCCAGGTGGCCAAGGGCCGGTGAGAACCAGCCACAGCCAGAGCTCTGGGGCGTGCGGAGATGATCCGGAAGCCTTCCTTGCTCTGTGGGAGGAGGTGCATACGCAGGTCTGGCTCCCTAAGGTCCTGCTGACTGCTGCTCTCTGTCCAGACCACGAGAACATGGAGCTTACCAGTGCGCTGCAGTCAGAGCAGCATGTCAAGAAAGAGCTACGAAGCTGGGGGAGCCGCAGGAGGCTGGGGGAGCTGAAGGAGGTAAGCCCACGGAGGCGAAGGAAGAAAGGTCAGGAGTTCAACATCACCCTCAGCTACACAGTGGCCTCAGCCTGAGCTGCATGGAGCCTTAGCAGTCACACACTGGTCGGATGGCTCGCTGGTAATCGAGCTTGTTGCACACGTCTGGTGACATGAGTTCAGTCCCTGGGATCTATCTCTGTGAAGGTGGAAAGAGAACTCCACAAGTGTCCTAAACGGCAGAGTAGTGAGTGCCTTTAACCCAGGAGTCGTCTCTCCGCCGCCCCCCCTCCCCGTTTCCACCACGTTCGGCTGCCCTGTGGTGAAGAAGGGGCGTGGCTGTGTCTGGGTGCTGCGGCCTGCACCTTCAGAAGTCAGAGAGGGAAACCCAATGGCCACCGGTGTCCAGGAAGTCACTCTTACTCTGGCTGCCCCGGGGCCTGGCCTGGCACCAGCAGCTCTGTCGACTGGGCAGTCTGCAGGGTTGAGAGTATTCCCAGGACACAGAGCACAAAGGGCTCCGTCTGGCCTCAGGCAGTGCCCAGATGCTGTCCACACCCTGCTTTGCACTAGCCTGGACTCTGCCTATGTCTGGGGACAGGCTGCTGACCCTTGGCATTCCTGCAGAGACCTCATGAGACAGAAACAGACTGGGCTTTCAGAATGCGTGCCGGCTGGCAGGATGAATATAACCAAGATTATCTGCCATGAATGCGGGGTGGCACTTCATGTGCCAAAGGTTGGCTGGCCCCGCTCCAGCCTGAGCCCTTTGGCTCCAGGGCCCTCATTCCAACTGGGGTAGGACAGAACCCTTATTCTCTTCCTGAATGAGAGGCCCCCCACTCCTACCCCCAACCTCGATCATCTCTCACCCCCACTCAGGGGCTGGAGACTTCTCTGCTTATGACTTGGCACCAGACCAGATTAGAAGAAGACGGTCTGAAGTCACGCTTCCCAGGCCCTTTGAAGGGAGGTATTTTATTGGTAGGGAACATTCCCAGGGTGTCCACTCACCTGCTCTGGCTTTTCTGCATGAGGTCCTGACGGGTGCTAACAGCTGCCACAGCTTGGGTAATCTCCTCAGGGAACAGCCGAGCACTGGGAGCCTCTGCCCTCCACTGCATCGGGGTCTGGCACCCATTGCCTGCAGCACCCGTGTGTTCTGCTGGGTCTCTGACATTACTCTTCCCATCTGTAAAGTGGGGTGATGGCCCTGATCTCCCAGGAATGTTATGGGATTGAAATGAGTATTGGCCTCAGCTGCCCTCTCAAAGTCCTCAGGTCAGAGCAGGGCTGGGTGAACAGAGGGCAAACATGAACATAACTAGACACCCATGGCATTCTCGCTGTCTTAATTAGGTTTCTGCTTCTTGTGATAAAGACTATGACTATATCAATAAGGGTCTTAAGAGAATGAACATATAACTAGAATGGCTTCAGCTAGTCTGACTAGCTACCAAGAGTCCAGTAGTTGTTCAGTCCATGAGCCTGGATGTTTTAGCTGGTCTTCAGTACACACAAGAATCCCAAAGAAGTGTGCTCTAATGCCAGTGATGGAATGGACTTACCAGCAAGAGTGAGGGCAGACAGGCAAAAAGAGAGCTTCCCCTCCCATGTCTTTATAGGCTGCCAGCAGGAGGTGTGGCCAGATTACAGGTGTGTCTTCCCACCTCAAAAGCTTCAGAGTAGAAGTGGTCTTCCCAACCGGGAGGTGGTGGCGCACACCTTTCAGCCCAGCACTCAGGAGGCAGAGGCAAGCAGATCTCAGTGAGTTCGAGACCAGCCTGGTCTACAGAGTGAGTTCCAGGACAGCCAGGACTGTTTCACAGAGAAACCCTGTCTCCAAAAAATAGATAGATAAAGCAGATCTTCCCAATTCAAATAATCTAACTTAAAAATAAAATTCCTCGCAGGTATGCCTAGCCAGTTAGGCTTTAGTTAATTTCAGATGTCTCTGACAACCAAGAATAGCAATCCTCATGACCAAAAGCAGCGTGGGGAGGAGAGGGAGTATTTCAGTTCAGTTCTAGTCAGTCACAGGGAGAAGCCAGGGCAGAAATGCGAAGATGAGAACTGAAGCAGAGGTCACCGAGAGACACTTCTTGCTAGCCTGATCCTCGTGGCTTGCTGAGCCTGCTTTCCTATACAACCCAGGAGAAACTGTGGCTCCACCCCCAGTAAGCTAGGTCCTCCCACACCAACCATCAATTAAGACAGGCTGTCCTGATGGAGACAATTCCTTAAATGAGTCTCTCAGATATGTATAGGTTTGTGTCAGGTGATGGGGGAGGTCCTTTTGTATATATGCTTCTCTTATTGGTTGGTGAATAAATCACTGCGTGGTCAATAGCCCAATAGCCAGTAGAGGCAGGAAGACAGGCGGGACTAGGAGACAAGGAGAATTCTGGGAAGAGTAGGCAGAAGGAAATGGAGGCGGATGCCATGAAGGCAGCCAAAGAAGTAACAGGTCCAGGCATTCTCCGGCAAGCCAAGACCACATGGAAATACATAGATTTATAGAAACGGGTTAATAATTAAGACAGAGATAGCCAATAAGAAGCCCTAGAGACAGGAAAAAATCTCCAGCGACAGTCAAATTGGCAAAAACAAACAAACAAAAAACAACTGGAAAGCACACTTGCCTTAGGTGACAGGCAGCAGAGGGCAGACACTCCACACTCTCTAGTCCAGCTGATTGGTAGCGGTTGTCTGTGTGCGTTACCCACCAGGCCCAGTGCGAAGCAAAGTGTGTAGTGAGAGTAAGATGTCAGGGATGGAATGTATAACACACTTGTCCTTTCTCTTCCAGAAGAAAGTCTAAGTAGTCTCCAGGCTCGTGTGTTGGATTCACATGAAATCTATGCTCACATTTTTTTTAAAGATTTATTTATTTATTACAAACACAACACCCTGCCTCCATGTACATCTACACACCAGAAGAGGGCACCAGATCTCATTACAGATGGTTGTGAGCCATCATGTGGTTGCTGGGAATTGAACTCATGACCTCTGGAAGAGCAGTCAGTGCTCTAAACCTCTGAGCCATCTCTCCAGCCCCACTTTTTATTTTCTAGACAGGGTTTCCCTGTGTAGCTTTGGAGGCTGTCCTGGAACTCGATCTTGTAGACCAGGCTGGCCTCAAACTCACAGAGATCCGCCTGCCTCTGCCTCCGGAGTGCTGGGATTAAAGGTGTGGGCCACCACCGCCCAACCCTCTTCTCGTGCGTTTAACCTTGACTTCAGCTATGTGACTTGAACTGCTAAGAAAATATGACTACTGGCCGGGCGTTGGTGGCGCACGCCTTTAATCCCAGCGCTCGGGAGGCAGAGGCAGGCGTATCTCGGTGAGTTCGAGACCAACCTGGACTACCAAGCGAGTTCCAGGACAGCCTCCAAAGCCACAGAGAAACCCTATCTCGAAAAAACCAAAAAAAAAAAATATGACTACTGTCCTCCGTTACCTTTATATCTCCTTCCCATTGTCCCCTCCCACCATCCAATCCGTCCCTGGAGGTGACATTCAAGTCCTCCACTTGCTTCTCAGTTTCATTCACAGCCACTACCATCTGCACATCCCAAGTGTTCTAGTTCATTCTGTCCTTACGATAAACATACCAACCAAAAGCAGCTTAGAGGATTTATTTCAGTTTATTTCAAGCTGCAGTCTGTCACCAGGGAAGTCAGGGAAGAAACTCAAGCAGAAACCTGAAGGTGGGCCTGCGTGCTACCCCGTGAAGCTTCGCCCCTGACCAGGGAAAACACACAGCCGAGTGCAGCAGTAGGACAGAGATGCTGCTTGCTGGCTGGCTCACACTGAACCAATTTTCCAATGTATTCAAGCACATAACCTGTGGGACACTTCCCATTCTGACCACTACTGTCACTATATGTTTGTGCGCGCAGCTACGCACATAGATATGCATACACCATGCACACATAAGTATGAGCGGTGGGATATAAGATATGTGGATAACATACAGTAAAACAAATTCTGGCGGAACTTCAGGTTAGCAAAGCAATGCAAGGAAAGCAAGGACACTGCGAGGGCACTGCCTAGGAATTCTTGGCGCCACTTGAGGGGTGTGTGCCTCTGTGGGAGGATGTGATTGGCATAGCCCTTCTAGAAACCTCCCTTTACTTCCTGAGTCTTAGTGGGTCAAGGCATTTGCCACAAAGCCTGATCACTTGAGTTTGATTCATAGAATCCACAAGATAGAAGGAGAAACCCAACTCCCAAATTTGTCCTTTGACCTCTGCATATATGCTATGGCACATATGTGTGTATACAAGCATGCACATACATACACACACACATACACTAACACACACACACACTAAATAAATGGACCTAAGGGATTCTAAGTGGCCCCATTCATATTCTCCACAGCCTCTTCTCTCACCCCCAGCAAGCTCCCAAGTTCTAGTGAAAAGTCCGCAGGACTGTAATTGCTGCAGGACAAGCCCTTAGCCACACTTCCAACTTGACTGACACTACCAGACCAACTCAAAATCACTTATGCAAGGAAACCTACTTCCAGAAATACTGGGTAGGATGATCCAGGGCAACTTATCTGAAGAATTAGCAATTTCATTGATGTAGGGAAAAGGGACCAGTCAAAGAAACACACCCTGAGCAGAGCCAAAGAAACACACTTTGACCCTGCAACCACAACCAAAGAAATGTACCCTGACCCTAAAACCAGTGCCAAAGGAACACACTTTGTCCCTGGAATCAGAGTCAGTGAAAGAAATGTACCCTGGCCCTAAAATTGGAGGCAAAAGGCTAAAAAGGACCAGAGAAAGAAACACACTTTGGCCCTGAAACCAGAGCCAAATCTGACCCTAATCCTGTGTAAAAAAGTAATCAATCCCAGAGCAGAGCTCTAGCCAATCTGAGCTCAGCACTGAAATCGGACCAATCCCTACCCTGGAAAAACTTCCCCAACCCCAGGAACCCCTATATAAACCCTGTGTATGTTCAGCTTGGCTGGTCCAGCTGTCTTCCAATAAACCCCTTTGGA